GAAACCTTGTTGATAAAAGTACCTTTATAGTTTGTAGCTATCAAAGACAAATACCACTACCACTAAGACCGGTGATGTTGAAACAATGGAAGCAGAAGCAGGTATTGTATGCACATGAAGAGCTTAAATATTTTGTGTAATCACTACAATGGTTACAGGGTCAAGGTCATCCTCTAGGTCTAGGCTATTAGCCTCAAAGAGTTTGGTTCCGCTTGTACTGCTGCGTGTTCTCGCTCCTCATCCTGAACCTTGGGAGGGGCATGGGAGCGTGAGAGACACCCCACTACCAGAGTTTTCCTGTGTTTCTCTGCAAACACTCTCAATCAACAAAGGGCTTTCAGGGCTGCCTGAGGAAATGCACAGACAGATGAAAAAGTAGCAAAACAATCTGAATTGTGGCGCATGAGAAGTCTGGGTGAGTGTGACAATGTAATGCGGGAAAGAAAACACGAACGAAGGAGGAGCCCAAATGCGACACCCCTGCGGCGTGACTGTTATTTCAAAGGAGGCGGGACCTCTGGCGGATGTAGAAAATGGGTCGCACGGCGAGCGGCTTTGGTCTCATGCGGTATAAAAGCTGGAGCTTCCTACTGCCCTTCACTCATAACCATGGCTTATAATTTAAAATGATGAGAAAACAGCTTGGGGAACGCTCAGGCTCCACGTGGTATCACTTCGTGAGATGCTGCTGTGTCCCCCTCCGCCGCCCCCTGCCCCCCCCCCCCGCACCCCCAAATGCTAAGTTTTGAAATCCTGCTAGCACTTCTTTAAACCAGAATATCTGGTCGCCGAGGAATTTCAGGCATCGAGAAATCAGGGGGGATTGATTAGATCCAGTCCGTGGCACGTAAGGGAGCATCGGTTGTTAAATACGTACCCTCATCAAATCAGCTTTATGGGTGTGACATACACGGAGACATGCCCGACTGACACCTTTCAAACACTGAGAAATAGAATTCTAACTTCTTTATTAGGCTATAAAAGGTTAAAAAGTTTCTGCCACAGTTAAGGCTTTTTCTTAAGAAGAAACATTTAATTGTCTATTAATTTCAGAATGCACAAGGTATCTGAAGACGCCTCACTTTCCAGGGCGGTTTTTCAAAAAAAGCATTTCCTGTTCAGGTGCGAGATGTGTCCAACCAAAGCTCAAATATTATCTTCACAATTACGTTCTTTTCCTTTTTCCATCACTGACTGACACTGAACAAGTTTGAGTTTAGTCTTTAAATGAATTTCTGACACATGAAACCCTATCTTAAGGTCGGCTTGGAGTGTTCCCCGCATGACCGGAGTCCATAGCTCTGTAGGAGACAACTGCCCAACGAAAAACACAGCAAGAAGGCCGCTTATCCCACATCCTCATACAAGCGGGCTCTGGCCACACTGGAGGCAAGGTGCCCGAGGACACACCCACTTCTTTTCTCAAGGCTCTTTACAGGACTCCAGCGCGCACGCACGTTGAGAAAGTGGGGGCGAGCAGTGGCCAATAACCCCGTGCACTTGGCAGATGGACTGAAATAAAGAACCCAGGCAACTTCGTGCATTCTACTGCTGCCCTTCCAGAGCACACTGAAGCGCTATTTTTTGTATAAAGGCTACAATAGAATACTAATCTATATTACTTTATTTGCCACGTTCAGGCATTTCTGTCTCTACATCAATGCCCTTTGCTATTTTGAGAGCAAAGGGAAATTAATCTAGCCGCTGATGTCAAGCTCCAGGAGCACAAGGATGCTGTCATGAAAACATCCTAATATTACTTATTCTATTTATGTTACTGAAAAGCTAGAAATCCCGAATTCCAAGAAGGAAAGGGTAAGTAAGAATTCTAGTTGTACTGCTATTATTTTGCATAGAAGTAAAACTCTGGTTTCCATGCTGTCATTTGTTAACCGATTGGCAGGATCTTCGGAGCAGAGCACAGGAGGCCGCATACCGGATCTGGTCGTGGTATGCAAATAGAAGCACAGCCTCCTTCTGCAAGACTCAAGATGAAGAAGGGAGGAAGATGAGTGGGGTCACAGGTAACTATTGGAGCTACTCAATTCCAGACTAGCAACCTGAGGAAAAGGGAAGAAGGCCAAGTGCAAGGAGAGAGTGTCCAGAGCACTTAACTTACGAGTTAAGAACCCAGCCGGCAATACCCAGTGAACTGGAAGCATCAGGTCTAGAAGATTTGACTTTAGAACTGCAGTCAGGCTGGTGGAGGTGTGCAGATTCTCTCTTCCATTTGGTTTGGGAAAACAGAAGGGCCATTTCAGGGGAGGCCACACTGAAGTCCTCAACTTGCTAGCGCTCCTACAGAAGTGCGTATACAAAAAAGTGAATGGATTTCGGCCTAAGTTAATGCCATGCTTTTATATTCCAAAGGGGTTTTCACACTGCTATGGATGGAAGTCCCAAACGTAACCAACTGGTGCTAGCTTGTGGGCACTCATGATGACCTTTGGTTTTCAAGTTTTGAAAAGATGTATTTGGCTCCTGTGAAATATCAACGAACCCATTCTCTTGGCAGATGAATAATACATACACATTCTTTCGACAACTACTATGCACTTGGATCATTACAAGACAAGAAGCACTGCAAATGTCTTCCTTACACAAGTACCTTTACTCGGCACACGGAACATCAGATACGGAACATCGGCGGGTTAGATGCTGAACCACAGGTGGACTTCTCAAGTGTAAGGCTGAAGTTTAACACATCCATTAATCTAGTTAGTATGAGGGAAACAACATATAACCACGGTTGAGCAGTGGCTTATCTTTTTAATAAAGCTATAAAGCTTTTGAGATCTATACCATATTAACCCTTTTACTGAACTAAAGATCACAGCTGTGTTTACCATTTTAAACTATTTCTAAGTGGGGAGGCGAGTATTATACACTTTCACAGCTACTGAAAACAATACAGATGCCATCCCTTCAACCCATTGTTACACACGGCAAAAAAGAAAGGAAAGGAGGAAAAAGGCCTTCTTAACAAATATTAAACTCTGAAGCTTCGTATGGAATTCTAGTGCTATTACACAGGTAGCCAAGACACGAACACCCAGCTTGGGTCACTAAAACTTCAATAGAAGCAACAACTGAGGCTAATTCTTGATTTCATTTTGAGGACCCATGCAAAATTCTGCCATAAAACTCAAACTAGTTCCCGATGCCTAGTTCTAGCACTGGACTCAAGCCAAAAAGAAAGCTAAGTGTATACTTTAAGAGCCTATTCTAGAATTTTTGCATGTAACCATTTTATTTTCCTTTAGGAGAGTAAATGAGGTCACAGCTTAATCAGCCCGCGTTAAAAAATAAACCGGTTTTCAGAAATTGAAGTTGAAACGGCAAGTTTGTTGTCACACTGTTTCTCCTTTTCTTTTTTTTCCTAACCACATTTATGTTACTTTTGCTTCAAAGCTGAGAAGATGCACAGCGTGTCAAAGTAAGTGAGTTAACGCAGTCAATTCGATATTCAGTTCGGGTGAAAAGGGCGAGTGTAAAAACTGGAATGGGTAATCTTTTACGAGCGTTGATGTGCACCGGGCAAATATTGATTAAAACATGCAAAACAAAGTAGTAACTTCCTGCAGAAACAGTATAGTATTTCTCCACCTTCATTTATAAAAATAACCGAAAAGAGCTTTGGTTTCAGTTTTTGTTCTCCTTGTCTGTTAAGAAGTTTGAAGAAACGGTTCGGAAACGTAGTGCAGGGACCTCTATAAACTATCTGAAGCACCTCACTCAAAATAAACCCCAATCTGGAGTAAACACAAAAGTCCCTGCACATCTATCTACTAAAGACGATGTGAACTTTAGCTTTTTGAACTGGAGAAACCATGAAGATTTTTGTGACTCTAATAGAGTACAATAATTCCACTCAATTTGGAAATAAGGCAGCTAATTTCGGGGGTGACTCTTCCGGCGGTCCGGATTAGGCGAAGAGAAGTACTTTTTCTTGGAGGAGGCCCTGCGAGCCTTTCCTACGACGGTATCCTGCAACCACGTGCTCCTTCCACGCGTCAGTGGGGTCCCCCACACCGTCCTGTGGTGTTTCCTGAGCTCCGAGACACATCACCCCCCACCCCCCTTCCCCGGCTGCGCTCTTCGGAGGTCTCCGCACCAGGCGCCCTCCCAACACCTCGAAGGCTGGAACGGGAAGAGCAGGGGCCCACAGCAGCTTCCACTTTTCTGAGCTAGCGAGCTCCTAAGTCAGTCTGACCTGTGTGCCTTTCCCTTGTAAGACTGGCCAAGTCATAAAAGGAAACTAAATCCTGATGTTTTTCCTTCCCCACCCGATTTACAATGATACGAAGTACAGATACAAAATAGATCAGAGTGAAAAAAAAGGGGGAAACTAAGTCTTGCTCAGCCAGAAGCTCATGTTGCATTGCTAATGATTTTAGTCAGTGTGACTTTGTGCAAAATATCCTCGAGAAGGCTCTGGCTCATTTTCAAAGTAAACAAAAACACATACCAAAAAAACACAAAACAAAACAAAACAAAACAAAAAAACAAAAAAAAAAAAAAAAAAAAAAAAAAAAAAAAAAAAAAAAAAAAAAAAAAGGAAAAGGAAAAAAAAAAGAATGATGCATGTTTATAAAACATTTAAAATGAGCCTGACATAGGTATTTGTTGCATACACATGCCATATATAACAAAGCAAACGTAGTGTGTAAATTGTGAAATTTGGGAAAGTATGTTTTGTTTTTCCATTTCCAAGCCCAGATCAAAGCAATCTTGTTTTAGAAATGGACAATTGCAATGCAAATGAGCCTGAGATATGTTAAAAGGCCGCCCCTGTAAACATTTCCTCAAAGGGAACAGTAGCAGTTGAGTATTTATCAGTTACTCATACTATATTCATCACTATAGCAATGCTTTATAAAAGACAAACAGCTTATTTCTAGGCTGTCAGGGATTTACGGAATATTGATTTTGTTGGAAACAATCCACTGTAATCCAGTCCCAAGTTTAAATCCGATCTGGCTTTTCCCTGGGGGCCTTCACTAGGTCTTCTGCTCCGCGGCTGTGGCGGTTTGCGAAGGAGCTTCTGGCTTCATGATCTGGTATGTGATGAGATACTCTGGGTAGGCCTGCAAAGGACCAGAAGAAAACAGATCACTCCTTTGGCAGGTAAGATAATAAGTGGATGTCTCAGAGGCTGTTGATCATCATCAATATTCTATACATACCCAAAGCCTGCAAAGACCAGCCAATCAACAGGTGTCTAAACCTGCCCCCCCCCGCCCCAAACATACACGATCTACCTGTATCTTGTACATAAATGTATCTAGACCCTATAATCGAGAGAATGGTTTTAATGTTATTTCTACTTTGAGTACTTTAAAGTGCTGCATTCACCTGTCATGCACATGGCATTAATGGGAAAGCTAAGGCAGGAGATAATCTCTCTCACCTCATCTAACGTGATGCTGTCACACAGCATGTGTTTAAGAAGTTTGTTAAATGAAAAAGTAATTTGGCTGAACCGATTTCAAACTAATTTCAAATTAATTAATGACAAATAGAACCTACTGAACTAGAAGCAGGAAGAATGAGGCTTGTGGAGTCACCAGTAATGTAGAGGCAACAGTTCGGAGATAATGTTTAAAAGGTGACTAATGGGGGCGCCTGGGTGGCGCAGTCGGTTAAGTGTCCGGCTTCAGCCAGGTCACGATCTCGCGGTCCGTGAGTTCGAGCCCCGCGTCAGGCTCTGGGCTGATGGCTCGGAGCCTGGAGCCTGTTTCCGATTCTGTGTCTCCCTCTCTCTCTGCCCCTCCCCCGTTCATGCTCTGTCTCTCTCTGTCCCAAAAATAAATAAAAACGTTGAAAAAAAAATTAAAAAAAAAAAAAAAAGGTGACTAATGAAAGGTAACATAATGGTTCAGATTTAGGCCCTCCACCCCATATAGTCTCTTTTGTCTCTTTTTCTTGCAGTACATAAAATGAAAGGCTCAGGATCTGGAATGGAAAGAGTACTTCTTACGGGAAGTTGTTACAAACCTTCACCAGACAACTGAGTGGGGGGCAAAACCCCCTTGTAGTATGTGTACTACATAGGAGTTCTTCAACCCTAAATATAATGACACAGCTGGATGCAGTATTTCAGAGAGGTCTGGGCCTGCAAACTACTACTCTTTGGTGAGGTAAATGTTTCGGGGCCCAAAAATAATTTGCTGAATGCTGACTTATAAATTACTTGTATACAGATATGGAATAATATAAAAAAAAGATTAAAAAAACTGGACTTTCAAAAAGATACATGACCATCTATGTTCACTGCAGCATTATTTACAGTAGCCAAGACAGAAGCAACTTAAGCAGCCATCGATAGATCAATGGATAAGGAAGGTGGTGGGTGGGTGTGTGTGTGTGTGTGTGTGTGTGTGTGTGTAATGGAATATGACTCAGCCATTGAAAAAAATGAGATCTTGCCATTAGTGACAATATGGATGGCCTCAGAGGGTATTTCCGGAGTGAAGTAAGTCAGGCAGAGAAAGACAAATACCACATGCTTTCACTTATATGGAATCTAAAAAACAAAACAAAACAAACACAAGAAAATGCTAGCAAACCAAATCCAACAATACATTATAAAAGTCATTCACCACAATCAAGTGGGATTTATTCCTGGGTTGCAAGGGTATTAATATTCACAAATCAATCAGTGTGATCCATCACACTAATAAGAGAAAGGGTAGGAACCATATAATCATTTCGATAGATGCAGAAAAAGCATTTGATAGAATACAACATCCATTTATGATAAAATCCCTCAACAAAGTAGGTTTAGAGGGAATATACAGAGCAACATAAAAAAGGCCAGATATGAAAAGCCCACAGCTGATATCATCCCCAATGGGGAAAAACTGAGAGCTTTCCCCATACGATCAGGAACAAGACAAGGACATCTGCTCTTTCCACTTTTATTCAACATAGTACTGGAAGTCCTAGCCACAGCAATCAGACAACACAAAGAAATCAGAGGCATCTAATTGGCAATGAACAAGTAAAACTTCCACTATTTGCAGATGACATTATTATGCTACATTCTATACTAATCTATATTTAGAAAACCCTAAAGACTCCACCCCAAACTGCTAGAATTGATAAATGAATTCAGTAAAGTTGCAGGATACAAAATCAATGTACAGAAATCTGTTGCATTTCTATACTCCAATAATGAAGCAGCAGAAAGAGAAATTAAGAAAACAGTCCCATTTATAATTGCACCAAAAATAATAAGATCCCTAGGAATCCAGCTTGTAACCAAAGAGGTGAAAGACCTGTATTCTGAATCTATGAAATGCTGGTAAAAGAAACTGAAGACGACAAAAAGAAATGGAAAGACATTCCATGCTCATGGATAGGAAGAACAAATATTGTTAAAATGTCTATCCTACCCCAAAGCAATCTACACATTTAATGCAATCCCTATCAAAATATCACCAACATTTTTCACAGAACTAGAACAAACAATCCTAGCATTTGTATGGAACCACAAAAGACCCTGAATAGTCAAAGCAATCTTGAAAAAGCAAAGCAAAGCTGGAGGCATCACAGACTTCAAGCTATATTACAAAGCTGTAGTAACCAAAACACTATGCTACCAGCACAAAACCAGACATACCGATCAGTGGAACAGAACAGAAAACCCAGAAATAAAGCCACAATTATATGGTCAATTAATCTTCAACAAAGCAGGAAAGAATATCAATGGGAAAAAGGTAAGTTTCTTCAGTAAACAGTATTGGGAAAACTAGACAGTAACATGCAAAAAATGAAACCGAACCACTTTCTTATACCATACACAAAAATAAAATTCAAAATGGATTAACAACCTAAATGTGAGACCTGAAATCATAAAAATCTTAGAAGGGGGCACAGGCAATAATTTTTCTGACATTGGCCATAGCAATTTTTTTCTAGATATGTCCCCTGAGGCAAGGGAAACAAAGGCAAAAATGAACCGCTGGGACTAGGAAGTTTCTGCACAGTGAAGAAACAATCAATAAACCAAAAGGCAACCTATGGAATGGGAGAAGATATTTGCAAATGACATAGCTGATAAAGGGTCAGTATTCAAAATACATAAAAAACATGCAACTCAACACCCAAAAACCAAATAATCCAATTTAAAAAATAGGCAAAAGACATGAACAGACATTTGTCCAAAGAAGAGATATCCAGATGGCCAACAGACATGTGAAAAAATGTTCATTATCACTTATCATCAGGGAAATGCAAATAAAAACTATAATGAGATATCACCTTGTACCTGTCGGAATGGCTAGGATCAAGAATATAAGAAACAACAGGTGTTGGCGAGGCTGTGGAGAAAAAGGAACCGTCATGCACTGTTGGTGGGAATGCAAACTGGTGCAGCCACTGTGGAAGACAGTATGGAGGTTCCTCAAAAAATTAAAAAAAAGTACTATGCTATGATCTAGCAATCACACTACTGGGCATTTATCCAAAGAACACAAAATAGTAATTCAAAGGGATATATGCACCCCTATGTTTACAACAGTATTATTTACAATAGCCAAGATAGGGGAACAGCCCAAGTGTCTACTGGCTGATGAATGGATAAACAAGAAGTGGTGTATGCATACACGATGGAATGTTACTCGGCCATAAAAAAGAATGAAAGCTTGCCATTTGCAACGACATGGATGGGACTTGAGAGCATAATGCTAAAATGAAATAAGTCAGTCAGAGAAAGACAGATACCATAGGATTTCACTCCTATGTGGAACTTAAGAAACAAAACGAATGAGCAAAGGGAAAAAAAGAGAGAGGCAAACCAAGAAACAGATCCTTAACTATAGACAACTGATGGTTACAGAGGGGCAGTGGGTGGGGGGATGGGCGAAATAGGTGACGGGGATTAAGGAGAGCATTTGTCGTGATGAGTACTGGGTGTTGTATGGAAATGCTGAGTCACTATACTGTACACCTGAAACTAATATTATGCTGTATGTTAATTGACATTTAGATAAAAACTTAAACAAAAAACCCTGAAACAAACAAACAAACGAATGAACAAACAAACCAACCCAGCCTCACAAATGCAGAGAACAAATTGGTGGTTGCCAGATGGGAAGGAGGTGAGGGGATGGGAGAAACAGGTGACAGGCATTAAGAGGTACAAAATTCTAGTTATTTAAGTAAGTTGTGGGGGTGTAAAGTGCTGCATAGAGAATACAGTGGATAAACCAGAAAAAAACCTGCACCGTTGAATATTTAAAATGCAGAAATAAACATGCGATTGACTGACTGGATTATTTCTAATTTCACATCTGATTTTTAGGAGGCAGAAACTGTTACAGGTCTTTGCCTCCACTTCCCTCACCTATACAGGGGAACGGTAATAATACTAAGATTTTTGTAAGCATTAAATGCAAAGATCTTAGAATAGGTTTGGCCGACTAAGAATTTGGTATGTGTAAATTGTCACTATTAACATTATTATCATGATTTATTAAAGACATAAGGATAAACACTTAAAAAAAGACTCCTCCTGAGGGGGTCTCAGCAAGAATAAAAAGAATAAAAAATGTAAATGTGTTTTTAAAAGTTATAACTGTGTACATGTGTAAGGAAACACTATCACTCATAATATGTTTCCCAAAATTCTAGTCTGCTCCGATTTGATGTAAAAACAGCAATGGTTTCTATCTTCTTAGTACCTCTAGTTGGAATAACACAATTAACAATCTTCATCTCTCCTGACTTTCCAATCTGAAGCTTCAATAACTAAAAAGTTTGTAGTCTTATTTTATTATGATTTGAACACTGCTTAATTCTTGAAATGGTATTTTAGTCAATTAGTTACTAAAACAGGCTAGGTCAGCTAGTCTCCTAATTCTAGAGTTGGAATAAAACTCTAGGAATCAAAAAACTCTAGGAAAGCTCAAATACCGCTGGAGAAATGGACAAACTGCCCAGCCAACTAGATGGTTAAATGGTCAAGAAAAGTATTTATTCACCACCAATATACATGTATTGAGCATCTCTATGTATAAAGTACTCTGGGGTGAGATAAGGTCCTTTGCTGTCAAGAAGCTTCCAGTCTTGCTTGGGAAGGTAAGTCAGACCCAGAAAAAGAAGGATTAAAAAACAACCCACACTGGCACGTGCCCAGTGTCAAAAATGAGTGTGAAGCACACTCCTACTTCTTTTTGTCCCAGTGAAATTTAGTATCTACCATACCTTGTGTGACACATTCGTTTTGCTTGCAGAAAAGCTGCTGAAGCAAAGGAGTTGGTAATGCTAGTGTTTACATTTTGGTGGTGCACTATTTAAGGAGATCCCTCTCACATGTAAATTTTAGTCAGGCAGATTCTAAGACTCCAGTGGTATGAATGATTAAGGGCCCTGGTTCCTAGTGGTTAGGCTACCGCACTGTTTGTGTGTACAGGCTGATTACAGACATTCAAGTCCAGAGGGATTTAAGACAAGGGAATTATTTAAGCGCAGGAGCAGAAGGGCGCAGGATCAACCACCGGGTGTTACTTCCTGTCAAGTCACTTTATATCCATGCTGGTTATAAAAGCGTGGAATGTCTTTTTTTTTTTTTTTTTTTTTTTTTTTTTTTTTTAAGTTCCTGTAAGAAAAAATTCAACAACCACTTTGGTAACTGACTTTCAGGAACTGACTTCCAGGCAGTCCTAACTGACTTTCAGGAACCATTCCTTAACCCAGATCCCTACTGTTATCTAAACTCAAATGCTTTCAGTTTATTCTTCATAGGGATGAAGGAGAATCATGGTCTCTTGAATAACTTTATATATTTGAAAATCATGCTATAAATTATTATACAATTTTCTACTTTCCAGGTTAAATAACTACATTGTTCGTGTAATTTCAGTAAAATAAAGGCTAAATCTCTGTAGCAACCAATGGCCAGAGAATACCTCTCCTTTATGTCTAATTTAATGTGATGCTTAAAGTACAACATACAAAAATACTCCTGACATTTTGAGTCCAGCCATATACTAAAATCAGAACCACTTTTCTTCCAAGCATAATTTTGAACATATCTTTTCAATTCTAAAGAAAGAAACAATCTCACCAATGATGAATGATACTCCTTAAATCAACCCTCTGAATAAAACACTTGTGTGTTCTTGAAAGTGTTAGTACTAAGGGTGAAGGATGATTTAAGGTATAACAAAGAGAAATGAAATAAAGTTACCAATGGAAAACTTCACCCAAACTTTAGGAGAAATGCCAAAATGGAAACGGAAAATGACTCAATTACTAGACAATACACTTAACAATACCCATGCGGGCAAGTATGCCTTGAAATAAAACAACTATTACCTGCATTTCATTGTTGAAGGGACTTTTTTCTTTCAAATAGACTTGGACTACATCATTCTCTAAAATTCTCTTAGCAACAGATTGTAAACAAGTTATCAAGCCAAATTACTCAGGAAATGATGATTGATCAGCAAATATCAGAAATGTAAACCTATTATTTTTGAAGTAGCCCTTATTATTTCTTTATACCCAAATATGAAATACATTATTCTTACCATAGGTAACTTTCTTGAAAAGTGTATGGTGAAGACCACTGAAATCACCTATAATCTCAATACCCTTAAGTTTTGGGGTTGACTCCATTTAACATAAATCACGTAAATGTATTTTTTTAAACTCACAGGCATATAAATATACTAACACCTATTTAATCATTCTCCTTGTTGAATATTTAGGCAATTTAAAATTTTCATTATGGTAATCAAGACAGTGATGAACATCCTTATATGGTTTTGTGGGCTTGTGTTTTTTTGGTGGTGGTCATCATTGATTATATTGAATACAAATTTCTAGAAGTAGAATTACTGGATCAAAGTGAAAGTATTTTCTCTCTGATTTACATAGAAAATTTTGACAAATTTGTTCTTTGGCAGTTTTTAAACTTTTTATTTGGAAACAAATGCAAACTTACATATTAAATTGAAAAAATTAAAATGTCACCAAAACACCTGTACACCCATTACCCATATCCATAAAATAAGCTTTTATTTACCCCTTTGCCTTGTCATGTACACTCTCATGTACACTCTCCCCAACCTCTAGGGAGGTACTAGGGAGACAGACACACACACCCATATTTTCTTTGAACCATTTGAGAGTAAGTTCTATATAGTATCATAGTTCTTTACCCCTAAATATGCCAGTATTTATTTCCTAAGAATAGGGATACTCTCTTACATAAGCACAGGATCAACAGTATAATTTTATGCTAATACTTTAATACCTATCCTTCATATTCCAATGGTCTTGGTTAAATTTTTTAAAAAGTTTAATTTATTTTTGAGAGAGTGTGATAGAGTGGGGGAGGGGCAGAGAGAGAGAGGGAGGGGGAGAGAGAATCCCAAGCAGGCTCTGCACCATCAATGCAGAGACCAACACAGGGCTCAAACTCAAGAACCGTGAGATCCTGACCTGAGCCGAGAGATCAAGAGTCACATGCTGAACCAACTGAGCCATCTAGGCACCCCATCAGTGGAATTAATGATGCTGTTTCTCTTCCAATACCAGATCCAACTTGGGGGAAAGACCTTAAGTTAGTTGTCCTATCTCTTGGGTTTCATTTAATCTGGAAAGTTTTTTTTTTTAATTAAAAAAAATTTTTTTTAAGTGTTTATTTTTGAGAGAAGGAGAGAGAGACAGAGCATGAGCAGGGGAGGAGCAGAGAGAGAGGGAGACACAGAATCCGAAGCAGGCTCCAGGCTCTGAGCTGTCAGCACAGAGCCCGACAGGGGGGCTTGAACCCACGAACTGTGAGATTATGACCTGAGTCAAAGTTGAACCTTTAACTGACTGAGCCATCCAAGCCCCCCTAATCTGGAAAGTTTCTAAAGCCTTTCTCTTTTAACATATTTACATTTCTAAAGAATCTAATCTTCCCACATTTTAATAGAAACTTTATTTCTTTATTTTGAGACAGAGAGCACACACCATGAGCAGGGGCGGGGCACAGACAGAGGGAGAGAATCCCAAGCAGGCTGCGTGCTATCAGCACACAGAGCCTAATGTGGGGCTCAGTCTCCCATACTGCGAGATCATGATGTGAGCCAAAATCAAGAGTTGGACAGTTAACTGAAAAAGCCACCCAGGTGCTCCATTCCCGTATTTTTTTTACTAGAACATTCCTCATTTTGATTAGACCAGGGTTATGCATTCTTGGCTAGAATACTGCATAGAGGATGTGCCCTTCTCAGAATATATCTGGAGGCCCACTCTATTTCTGTCTGTCCCTCATTAGTGATGTTAATTTCGATCATCTGGTCAAGGTGTTGGCCCCCTTTCTCCAATGTATCATTACTGTTTGCTTCTCCTTTGTAGTTAATGAGAACACCATGCAAATATCATTTTTCTTATCAAAATTATCTCCTAGATTTAGCATCCACTTATGATTCTTGCCACCGTGGTCTCAAGATGATGACTTTTCAAATCCTCCCTCCACATGTCCTCATCTGCCCTTGGCTTTCTACTGTAAGCAAAACCTTCTTTGCCCCTTCATTTATTTACTTACCTATTTGTTATCAGTATAGAGTCATGAATTCCTATTTTTCCCAGTGGCTTAAAATTTATTACTGTACTTATTTTGGTATTCCAACTGTTCCAGATTTGGCCAGTGGGAGCCCCTTCATGCTGGCCCTGTGTCCTTGTGACATGCCCTCACCACTTCATTCCTTTCTGGCATAACAGGATGGTCCAGGCTCACTTGTTCCTATTCTGCTTCAGCCCTGGAATTAGCTGCTTCTCCAGAGATGCCGGGTTCCTTTAAGTGGGAATGGTATTAGAGACCAAGGTCTAGGTCTGAGTATGTTCACCGCTATTGGGGTTTTCTTGTTTTCAGCAGACAGTGCTAAGAAATATATGTGAATATATGCTCATATACATACATACGCTTACATATACTCTTACCCACATACCTACACATAACATGGATTTACCAGTGCACATACATACATTACAAACAATGAGTTCCTATCGATACCTCCAATTTCAGTCCATCTTTGCATTTTTTATGTCCCTTCTTCCACTTTGAGAATCCCAGGTCCCAAATCAAACATCAACACATTTACTCATTTGTTCAATCCTACAATGCACCTAAAGGCATTTCATCGCTTTGCCCATATCCCCACCATCAACATGTCTACTAAATGGAGTTCAGGATTTGTGGCCCACAACTGATGGCATATAATACTGTTCTCATATGTTACTTGTACTTAATTTCTCCTTTCTCCATTTTGTTTTTCCTCTTCTCCATCAGAGTAGTTAAGGTATCCATTTGGAATTCAATGAAGTTCAGACAAACTGATCTTTGTTTTTAGACAAATCGGTAGGCATTTAGCAATACTGTGAGAGTTAGGGACTTGGTTGAAAAATGACAGGAAGTTTTCCTGCTTTGTTGACAATTTTACTTTGGAGCCTTGGGCAGTCGGCAAAATTTAATGTAGCTTTACAACTCACAAAACTATTGTTCTATGTTAAGTGCCATGATCAGAAATATAGAGATTCAACTCATGTGACCAGCCTATGGCAAGGACATCCATCAGGAAAATTCTTTAGGGGCACCTGGGTGACTCAGTCGGTTAAGCGTCTGACTCTTGGCTTCAGCTCGAGTCACGATCTCATGGTGGTGGGATCGAGCCCCGTGTAGTGCTCTGCGCTGAGCGTGAGTGTGAGGCTTGTTTGGAATTCTCTCTCTCTCCCTCTTTCTCTGTCCGCTCCCCCTCCCAAATTAAAAAAAAAAGTAGTAAAAATTCTAAAATAAATACAATATTTTTTTTTTTTTTAAAAAAGGAAAATTCTCTAAACAGAAGCTGGTCTTAGCTCTCCTCGCACCGACATTTTAGCAACTCAGTTATGCTTATCTAACGAATACCATACCTGTTCACCTCTGTAGATGACATATTCAGCATATGCCAGCCCGTTCACACTTGGTCTCCCGATCACTGAGTGATGTCCTGGAGGGGCATGAGCCATTTTCATGGTGCTGAATTGCAGAAAGGATTTGCCAAGGGTCACTCTACAGAAAAGCATTTGTCTAAAGAAGAAAAGGAAAGAAAGGAAAGTGATGCTTTGAAGGAGGCACTCAATCTTAGAGTGGTAAAATTGTTATATTTGTTGATTTTATAAAAACTATTTCACACAAGGCAAGCTAGTTTAAAATGTCACTTTCAAATATAAGTAGGAATGGGATGGGAGGTGATAACTGATTTACTATAAACAGTCAGCAGGCTCAATAGTTAGTTACGCAACCAATGACAGCAAATCCCTGGTGAGTTTTGACTAGTGGGGCAAGAGAAATACTAGCAAAAACTGAGTTCTAAGAGGATGAAGAGGAGGAAACTGAAGCAAATAAACAGAGGGCAGATGCATCTGAAATTAAGACTGGGTTTACTCATTATGAAGAAGTAAAAACAAGGATGAAATAAATAATAATAAAAGTGGATCATATACAAAACTACTTAGCTTAAATGTACGGCTAGGAATCCTCCTACTTGGGAGAAACACCAATTGGGGTAGATGTTAAATATTACAGAGAACACGAAAGGTTGACTGGGAAGAAGGTGTACTATATAAACTAGGGGTTGAGACGCTACGGCCTATGGCCTAACTCTAGTCGGCCACCTGTTTTTGTAAATAAAGTTTTATTGGAACACAGCCACACATTTATTTACATGTCATCTGTGGCTGCTTTTGCACTACAAGGGCAGAGGGGAGTCACTGTGACAGGGATCATATGGCCCGTGAAGCCGAAAGTATTTATCACGTGGCCCTTTAAAATAAACGTTTGCGAACCTTTAATATACACTATCAACACTTCAGTCAGTGAGATTGGTCACACTGTTAAATGTGTAAAACAGTATTCAGTCAAATGGTTTGTTTTTAGTTACACAGTCTGATCTCTGCATTATAACCAACCAGAGATATCATTTTGAGCCAAAAGTGTGCCAGACCCAGTCTAACTGGGTCCTGCCTGGGTTTGCTTTTTCAGCATGATGTTACTGATGACCCTGTGGGGTGCTGGCTCAGTACCGGCTGCATCTCCCGCAGGTCCCAGAGGAAAAGGTTTGGCTCTGTATTAGAGGGAGATGTTTGAGCCCCATTTCACATATGGCGGCACTTGGGGGTCACTGGACCTTGCCCGCCCACTGCCATGGCTATTCTCAGTCCTCAGGTCACGCAGAGCTTGACCTGACAGGCCCCCACCTCCTGGCTTCTGCTTCCTGCCCCAGAGCTGTGGAGGCAGGAGAAAACGCAGGACCGGCCCACGAAGCGGTGGGCTGCAGACGGACAGGTGGAGAGTACTGGCTTCTGCTTGCTCACTCGCCAGCTTTGCGTGTTGTGCCGCATTCTGCAGACGCAACAGCCCCAGACACGGGGATACCGATGTCCCGTGGGGCAACTAGTGACAGTGCCAGACAAGGGCCAGCAGACAAATTCCTCTGTATCCTCCCATGATGTCCTATTCTGAGATGCAGGAGTTCACACAGCCTCTCTGACGACGTCTCGCGGACTCAGCGACCACCTGCTCGTTATGAAACAGGCCAACTCACTGATGCATCATCTCACGGTCTTTGCTCTGCCTCCTTCTCCACCTCACTTCCTCGTGTGCCCTCGTTCCTGCCTCCCTGGTATCGCACTTGCCAAGAAAGCGTTAGTACATCAGCTTTTGCTTCAGGCTCTGTTTTCTAGGAAATCCTGGCTAAGACATAAACCTATGTGTCTAGTTGTCATGGGCAACTGCTCATCTAGGCTCATTTTTATTGTTTATTTAGGATAGGTTTGCAGCAGCAGAGAGTTTTTGCATGTTATGTATCCCTGGGAATTTTTGTGTGTTATTAACCGTGGCGGCTTTAATAGAAAGACGGTTTTTTTCTGGACATACCGGATCCATCCTAGAACTGCTGACGGCTATAATTTTTTCATAAAGTAATGGAGGGCAGGAAGTTTTAAAGTCAAAAACTCTATGTATTTCAAGGCTATCTGGGTCTTTTTGAGCTTTCCTCTGAATTACAAGATCTCTAACTAACCTGGCTTTCCACCTGGTTAAAGAAAAATGCAATCAACGGCAATCTCTGTGATGTATAATTTGTTTGTATTTTTTCCAATGGCAGGGAAGAGAATGGCATTTTTTTCACTGACTTCAGAGACAGTGTACTATTATTCTCTTGAATTTGAGTTTTAAAATTCTATTTAAAAGGCTAATATTCGTTTTGTTTCCGATTAAATCCAAAGTTAATATTCTGCAATTAGACTTCTCAAGGCTGACTATATATCCTGCCTTAAACACTGCTAGCAACATCAGAAGGAAACTGAAGATTCAACTTGTTTATAGAAGTTGTGTCTTAGTTCAAATGTGTCTAATGCTCAAGGTTATTCGACAGATAAAATTCTCAACCTTTTCTTGTTCTGAATCTGAACCTCAGCAAGTGACGCTCAGGGAGCAAGTCCAGCTGGAGGGAGCTTCATCATAACCTATGACTGGTTGGCAGATACCTGGTTTTTCCCAGCCCCGCTGTTAGCTGTGCTGTCGTTTCTCTTCTTAGGACACAGGCTGATCAGCTATTCCTATCCAACCCCGAATCCGTGTGATCCATTATCAACACTGAGGATAACCTGTGACTTCAGCAGAGCCTGAGAAACTAATCCGGTTCGTGACCTGAGGATAGCAACCACTATACGAGACCCAAGGTGCTCACCTGTGACATATATAACACGAGCGATCTTTGTGCGTGGGACAGCCTGTTCCTCCGCCGATTCCATAAACATACTGGTTGCTTTTGGAGGAGTTTTCAGCAAAATAAATCCCGGCACCAAACATTCCTCCTATGTATGCATGTCGCTCATCAAACCCTTTATGAATAATGGCATTAATGAAAGGAGAACCTAAAAATACAAACACAGAAAGATCAGTTTTTGAGTACCTGTCTGGAGTCTCAATTAGCTGCAAACTATTTTGCACTTGGCACGTTAATATTAAGTAATTAGTGATGCACAAATGAAGTTGTAAGATGGTCTACCTTACATAAATTATTATCTTGTACTAGAATCTTAGCAGGGACCTACGATGTTCACCAAGCAAGGATGTAATATGGATTCTGCAGATGGCAGGAGATTTTAGATACCAAAGTACAATGCGGCTTTAAAAATATAGATTTTACACGCAACCTTACTTTACACAAAAACAGATAATCAGATAAGCTGAAGCAATTATGCTAAACTCTAATAAAAATATTTCGTCATCTAGATGGCTCAACTTGCAATATGAGTTCTAAAACAATTTCCGTGAGGTGATTTTCACTCTGCATGCCTTGGAAAGCCCGTACTAACACGCAATGCATTACAAAACTGGTAACGCAGAATTAAAACAAAAACTCAAAACCAGCCATTTTTAACAACACTGATACGGTCAATGACATCGGAATTCGCAAAAAAGCCCAGAGAGATAATGGCGGGCCTGACGCTCACCGTGAAATAGCATGCGCTCATTGTGATGGTTGTGATTCTCCTCAGACACTTCCTTTTGTCTGTGACAGAATCGTTCCCTCAACTTCTTGTTGACAACTTTTTGAATCTTTAAGGATGAGGAAGAAAGAAGCAAATGAGTGCAAAGAATGTCAAGTGGCAGTTTATAATTTAAAATGAAAAGTATGTTTTCTTTTAGGAAGGTTCAATTTTTGTTTGCTGAAAACATTACCTGAAAATGATAAAGTTGCCAGGTAGCATGACTAAGTTAACATTCTGGCTTTTAGTGACATAATTTTCAGCTCTGGCTTTTGTTACTCTGCACTAGACCTGGCTGTGCCTCAAAATCACCCAAAGAATTAAAGAAAAAACAGAGTTATTCCCAGACTCCTCCCAGGCTTGCCGAGTTTTAGGATACAGGGGCCTGCACATCTACCTTCCTCGAAAATCTTTCCAGGGAATTCTGACGTGCGCTGGTGTAACTCAAAAGGGATAAGCCCGTGCTCAACAGATTCTACTCGTCTTTAGGACACTCCCTTGAAAAAAGCACATCTATCCTATATTATTGATTGAGATACTGAGACGAAGAGATATATGCATTCTGATACAATCGCTGACTCAGACTGAAAATCCGGGCTCTGGACACTGCTCTGAGGTGGTGATAAAAATCACTGTCAGCTACAGTCTAAATATGTGGGTGGGCCAGGTCTCCTCACTGCCTCTGTACCAGCAACGGCAGCAGATCTAGACTCTAGTCTGTAGCTTTCCTCTTTCCACCCAGTCTCTGTTTCTAGCTAAGTATGGTCTTGAGGGGTCAGAGGAAGGTGACACCTGACTGTCAGGCAACAGATGACCCGATTAGCTTGGCAGTTTAAAAGCAGGATGCTTAGAAAAAATTTGTCATTTTCTATATTTGATTTCAGGCACACCTTGCAATCTAATTTTCACCCTGAAATTTTAAAAACTTACTCGAATGACATTGTATCTGTTGAAGATGCCACCAGCATTACCACCATCTCTGTGTTCTCGAATCGTACTTTGCATCTATAGAACAAAATAAAATAACTTTCTGAAAAGATGCCAGTATCTAATTCTAAAGACATTCCTCTGTTGTTTTCAACATTCACCTTCTGTTATATTGTTTTACTGATGACTCTCAGACTCAGCACTAAGAAATAAACGGGAGTTCACTGTAAATTGTTCAACAAAGTCTAGTGGATGAGTATTTCTGATGAGAAAATAAGTCAGAAATATAGATATCAAACCTCTACATTTTCTTTTTTCCTAATAAAAAAAAGCTTTAAAAGCTTTTCCTGTCAGCACTGTGGGGAAACACAGAAATAAAACATCACACTAAGCCATCTCCATTGCTATTTTATGGTACTGAGGAGAAGCCACACCGGGGTTAAGTCAAACTTCAACTCCTCACATTCGATGAATACTCATTAAACTCATCAAACAAATGTGATTTTTAAAAATTAGTAAGTTTTTGTTCCCTAGGTGAGATACCCCGTATTCTCTCTTTAATCTGGGATCTCAAAGTGCACCTGCACAGACAGACTGGGCAAAGCTGGATGACGTCTGCCCAGGGGGAGTAACCTTCTTCCGCGCAGTCCTTGCTCTTCTCCCACGCTCCAAATTCAAAAGAATGATGGAAAAGTAACACGTCTGGAAGACCCAAGTTCCTCACAGAATTGACTCCAAAGAGTTAATTCTCCATCTCACTGCTCTATCTGTGAAGGTATTCGTCACATTTTTGACAGTATGATGCAAATTTGCGACCAGTAAAAGAAGGATCAGGCACTGAGTTGCTAGAAGATCTGATGCTCTCCTGACAGACTGGCCAGGCATGAGCTGAAAGACCACCCTGAGGTAATAATGGTCCTGAACTTCCTGGGATGAGAATAATGTGATTAAAAGGCAGAAAATAAACAGAGAAAAATACGAAGGCATGCCTTCCTCTGCAACATAACGGAATTGGTTAGGCAGCTTCTTTACTGTGACAATACCACTGGCACTGTGTTTATTAGGTGTAAGAAATGAGGCATGAGCCAGCGGTAGAGGGGGAATCTCTACGGCATCTGTCAAGCAAGAGGGGCATCCATCAGCCTCACCACGGTGCTTTCACACAGTGACCGAAGAGATAAAAGGTGACTCGAGGTATGAGGTAGATTTCATAAGCACACACGAACATTAGGTGTACTGTTTTATAATCACATTTTACAACTTTGCATGAAAGTGAAAACAAGAGGATCTTTGCTATTCGTGAGGCAAGATTCTCACTCCCTATCATTCTTAGGTAGCATTTTAACACTGGAAGAAAACAGTTCTAGTAGGGCTCTTGTATAGCTTCAGGAAAGCCTCTAGGATGAAAAGACACCTCTGGCCCCCCTACTGGAAACCCTAGGCTTATTAAGATGTGCAAACACTGTGGCATAGTCCTAATCCCGAGTCCTAGCTGAATTGGGCGATATGTCACCATAATGGCTAAGGGAGTGATCATAAATCACTATAAGACCAACTTAGCTCTACTGGAAAAACAGGCTTAACCACAGATTTCAGGAAGAGAATGAAAAATTTTGATGTACATTACCTCTTCTTCTACTGACTGATATTCCTTATCCTCTGGAGCAAGATCCAGCAAAATAGTTCCCTGATTAACACAGTGAAAAGTCAGATAAGGGTTGGTGCCTGTAGGAAAGAAAAATGAATATGTTAAAGTCCGCACTCCTCGGCCTCAATTTTAGGGAAAACTCTGTCATAAATAATTGACATTTTGGAACAAGTCTCAATTATTTGCAATTCAAACCTAATATATAAGGTTATATTGAACAGTACATCCAAAGACAAGAGCAGTAATGGAGATGTGTTTGGGGATCAACTTTATCTGTTCTTACAGAGTTCTCCAGCCAGGGCTCAACAATTTTTTGTTGAACTGAATTTATTCATAAACACACATGAAGCTATCTCTGATACAAAAGAGAAACACACTGTGATCACAATCTAGTCAGGTCTAAAATGTACGAATTATCCTGTAATAACTCTGTGAGATGGCTTGAGATGGTCACTTATAATGAGTTTAAAATACATTATTCTTGTTCATTTCATCATGCTTAATTTAATGCAGATAAATGAGCGTGACTTAAGTTCAAAACCTGCTAACAGTTCCATGTTGCTCTTGCAATTTTATTGGCTGCAGAGTGGCTAATTCAAGTTTTTCCCTTTTCTCCCTTTGCTTTCCTATTGTAAAAGCACTTTTAACAAATAGAAAAATGATAAAAATGGGGGCCGACAAAAGGGAAAGATAGGAGGCTTGTAACGGCAAAGTATGGTGGGAGGAAAAAGGCTGAGCTGACAACTGTGAGTGGGGAGAAAGGTTCAGGACGAGGTCAGAGAGAAAGGTCAGATTATGAAAAGCCATGTTACAAACGTCTGATTTTATCCTAAGAGCAACAGGATTCTGCTGAAAGGTCTTAAGCAATGGAGTGATCTGATCACACATTTTGAGAACAGTCTTCTGAGTACATGCAGGGCAGGTACTGGAGGGGAGACAAAGGTGAGGGTCGGAGATAAGCTGGAAGGCGGTTGTGACAGTCAAGGAGACAGCTGACGGTGGCCAGGATTAGGTGACCTGTACTAGATTAGACAGCAGTGGGAAGCAGACAGAAGTGTAGATTCCAGAGATGTTGAGGGTATAAAGCGAGAGGGGAGAGGAGAGAACGAGTAGACGGCTAGCTAGAGCAGCGAGGGGGAGAGCCATGTCCGTAACTAAGATGGGGCAGGCAGGAGGCGCTACACCAGCTGAGGGCATGCGCTCTGGGTTCAGACCACCTGAGCTCAGATGCCAGCCCTGACAACTTACTTGTTCCTTCTAAGATTTTACTGTTTTGTTTCTGAATAGCTTACCTTGTTGTCCACCTAAGAGTCTTTCTACTCCTTTAATTAATTTATGGCGGTGTCCATATGCATTGATGCCTATTTCTTTCAACTCCTCATGACCCATATCAGCCAGTACATCTAGTGTAATCTAAAAAAAATGGAACAAAATTAATTGCTAAATCTTGAACTGCTCCTCAGTTCTTCCATTGGTCTTTAATGCTACAGTATCCATCCAAATTAATAAATTCTTTTGTCTCCTTTATAAAACAACCTTAAAATTGTCTTGATAATTTTATCATTTATTTTTTATTTTTTTGAGAGAGAGAGGGTGCAAGTGAGTGACAGCAGAGAGAAAGAGAATCCCGTGAGGGGCAGGGAGAGAGAGAGAGAGAGAGAGAGAGAGAGGGAGGGAGGGAGGGAGAGGGAGAAGTGGGGCTCACCCAAAGCAGGGCTTGCGCTCATCCCATGCGGGACTTGAACTCATGAACCGTGAGATCATGACCTGAGCCAAAGTCAGATGCTTAACCAACTGAGCCCCCATGTGCCCTTTATCAGCTTTTTACTCACATGAAAAACCCTCTGCTTCCAGCCGACTGTGAATTAAAATGGAAGAAACAATGCTGTACAAATATAAAATGGTCACTGCTGTATTTCCTTTTGATTATTTAATTCTACTACCTTTTGCTTTCTTCAAGACATAAGAGAGAACAACCAGAAGCATAAAATAGGGAAATACCAGGTCCCAGTATCCAGCAGGTAGCAGAGAAGAATGGTAGGGGAATGGGAGAGAGGTTTATGAGCACAATGAAACAGAATGTAGCAAAAGGAGTAAGCAGTTTTAGGTAAGCGGGATTTATATCAAGATGAAGAAGAACTTCCCAGTGCTAAGAAATATTCAAGTCTGGAAAAGGCTGCCTTAGAAAGTGGTGAGATTCAGATGAGAAGTGTTTAGTTCAAGTACAGACCATTTTATGTAGAAGCTGTATAGAAAATTCTGATTTGGAAAAGAGAGAGTAGATGGTTTTCAAGTTTTCTTTAAATTCCCAGATGGAATAGTCCCTGAAGCCTAACATTCTGTTGTTGTAAAAAATAGTGGTTTTAAATTTTTGGTTCTTCATCCCTGCAAATGGAGATGATTAGTTGGCTACCATCAGGACTCAAAATGGCCCATTTCCTTCTGTGGACGAACAGTTAACTGGGACTCTACCGCCACCCAGTGGCAGAATTCTGAATGCACAGGATGAAATCGTGGGCAACCACATTTCTAGGGGGCTGAACATGCAATTTTCTGGCTCAGAAGAAGCTGGCCCTCTGACAGTGCAGATACTACTTTACAAGATCAGCCTTTAATTTTCTCTTTCCTTGACAAACTGAGAAATCCTTTCAGAGACACCGTTTTCCCAACTCAAATGAGATGTGCTTTATCTATCTATAGCATTCTCTACCTTTTTACTTATACATAACATTAAAAAAAAAAAAAAAACCTGACAAATTCAGCCTGGAGTTCTGCTGATTTTCATTGTCAGAATGAAGTATTTTATAATGAGTCTGATCTCAGTGCAGCAAGCATATACCACTCATTCTTTGGAAATAATTACTATATTGCTCTTAAGTGGCCATTTGAGAAATGATTGCTCCATTGTACAAAATGGGCAATTCGCTTCCAATCACCAAAAGGAAATTTTGAGCAGAGCTCTTAAAAAGCAACAGTTTTGAAATATACATCGTGGAGACAGAATAGTTCACACCATAATAGGAGCCTGTACACTTTTAGCTACATGTAATTTAATATGCATTGGAAGCCATGCACAAGGTTGACTACATTACTGATGTCTCAGTTTTTCCTTCTAAACTTTGGTTCAGATAAAGTTGATGTACAAACAGGATCTCAATCGATGTGGTAGCTTCAATCCAAAGAAACCTTAAGCTTTTCTGAATAGCTACATATTGTGTATATCTGGAAGAAGCAGAAACCAGGCCAGCAAAGCATAGAGTGCTCTCTATGAGGTTCTAGAAAAGAAATGGAGAATGTTTAATATATTTGTTGATTATATAGCTCCATCCGTAAAATAAATAGCTCAATTCCTCCTCCCAATCACCCATGAAGTACTACTGATGTACTCATGAGGAAACTGAGGCCCAAAGAAGTCATAAAAACAGTACACGCAAGAGCAGAGATGGATTGCATCGGTTTTTCCCTTGCCTATATTTCTTCAAAGGGCTGACTGGAAAGCTAAAATAACATTTAGTTGCTTGGGGTTACATGATACCCAATTCGTCCCCATACTTATCAGGCAGTGGCCACTGGAAAACCTGAAACGATAAAGCTAAGGAATTCAGATTACTGTTCATTTGTTCACTCATTCATACATATTTAATGAATACCTTCTATATGCTAGGTATTTCCTTAAAAAGTAACTAAGCATTTAATTCTAAAACTTCCCATTATAGCTCAGAAAGGTAAATAACTGTTCCAAATTGGTAGTAAAGGACTGGGGCAAGTAAACAAACAAGGTAGTACCACAAAAGTTCATGCTATGTCCTCTACCAAGAAGAGAAGTAAACACTAAAATACCGTACAGGTTGGTAAATGTTTTGGAGGAATCCTATGGGAACTCTATGGAAGGTTCTTACTTGATCAAGGCTGTAGGTAGGGCTGGAAAAGATGGAAGGAACAAGAAGGTGGTCAGGAAAGGTTCTTAGAAGGTAACAGCTTGGCTAAGCAAGAGCTAATCAGTCGGAAGAAGGGAAGGGTATTTAAGACAAAGGGAACAGCATACGGAAAAGGAAAAACAAGTAAGAGAATACAGAACATTTGGGAGATTCTCAGCACTGGAGTCCAAGAGGGTGAGCATATAACATACACACAGGAAAAAAGAAGGGATGGATAGAGCAGCAGGCTAGGAATAGATCTTAATGGACTTTTTAGATCAAGTCAAGACAGTATCCAAAAGCTCCTAGGGAGCCGTTTCAGCAGACAACACAATCAAAGTTGTATTTGACGAGGAGGATGGTAGCATTCTGCAGGGTTTGGAAGGGAAAGGGACTGTGTGAACAAGGTCAAGATGGAGTGGAGTGGAAGGGAGGGATCAGAGAAAAATTTCAAAAAGAGATGACAGGGCCTGGTAAAGAGAAATGGTTAATGAAAAAAAAAAAAAAAAGGAATAGGAGTAGAGATTATCCCAAAAGTCTGAAAATTGGTGAATCTGAGATTATCCTATCAATAAAAGAAACGTAAATATCCAATATAAGGCAGGTTAGATGTGTTGGTCCAAGATTTAGGGCTTTTATACTATTAGAAATAGATTTTTTGAAAATTATCTTTTACTCACTTCAAAAATAACTTTATTATATCTAGGAAATCACAAGTTTCTTGCGCTAGTTATTTATATCTAGCACACATTAAAATCAAATTGATCAAACCTGTCAGACTAGCTACTTTCAAAAGGAAAAAAATGACAACTGTTGGCAAGGATGTGGAGAAAAGGGAACTGCTGTTGGTGGGAATGTAAACTGGTGCAGCCACTGTGGAAAGCAGTATGGGGGATCCTCAAAAGATTAAAAATAGAACTACCCTATCATCCAGCAATTCTACTTCTGGGTATTTATCTAAAGAAAATAAAAACACCAACTCAAAGAGACAGATGAGCCCCTGTGTTCACTGCAGCATTATTTACAATAGCCAAGATATGGAAGTAACCCAAGTGTCCATTAACAGATGAATGGATACAGGTGTGGTGTATTTATACACAATATTACTCAGCCATAAAGAAGAATGAAATCTTCCCATTCACGACAACATGGATGGACTTAGAGGGTATTATGCTAAGTGAAATAAGTCAGAGAGAGGAAGACAAATATATGATTTCACTTATATGCTGAATCTAAAAGAGAAAACAGAAACAGACACACAGACATAGGAAGGAAACTTGGTTACCAGAGGAGGTAGGGGTGGGGAGTTGGGCAAACAGATGAAAGGGATTAAGAGGTGCAAACCTCCAGTTATAAAATATGTAAGTCATGGGGATGCAATGTACAGCATAAGGAATATAGTCAATAACATGGTAATAACTTTGTATGGTGACAGATGTAACTAGACTTATCATGGGGATAATTTTATCATGTATAAAAATATCAAATCACTATGATGTACTCCTGAAACTAATAAATGCCATAGGTCAATTATACTTCAATTAAAAAAATCAAATTATAATCTTTAAAATAAGGATTATCCATGTATCAATGCAATCATCTTGCATATAAAGCAAGCATCATTTTAGGCAGGTTGCCTTTTGTTTCTAATATCTGTTCATTTTCTCTAGGGTAGAGAGAAAAAAAGTAGAGTTTTATTGGACAAAGAAAGTAGAGTTTTAATGAAAAAGCCCTTTCTTTTACTTAGGCTTAAAAGGATACAGGTCAGAGCAGAAATAACTTTACAATCATGTGCACAATTCATTGTCTTGAGTCCATTCCTTGGTCTTTCGATTTTGAAATAAAAATTTATATGATCACTTTTCATGAAAATATATAGGTTGCCCATAAATATGTCCACAAAAAGTCTTCTAAGTCATAGCATTTCTGTTTAGGAATTGCAGTGTAAATCAAATCAGCCTTTCTCATAGAAAAAGTGTTCTAATCAGGAAGCTACGTCATAAAGGAAGGGCGAAAGTGACACTGGTATTATATTTCATTAACTATAAAAGACCTGGGTATGTATTACTTGGCAAAGTATATGGGTTCAAACAGGCCAAGTTAGTTAAGAGACGTCTGAGAGAATAATTGTGAAGATAAGAGGTGAGGCTGTGATGTTCTGAAGGCAGTTTTCCTGATACTGGAGTAAAAGAACTATATTCCCCACTTCATTGGCAGAGAAGTATCCTTGAGCAGGAACAGAGGCACTGAGATCTTATGTGTCAAAACATCTCAGGAAACAGAACAACTCTCTGGATTAAGAGAAATAGAAAAGAATTAAGTGAATATAATGTTTATACCCACTCCTTCCCTCACTACACAAATATCTCGACCATCATCGATCACATACTCACACCCTGATATAGAATGTTAATGGGAGAAAATTCTATGGGTAAACTATAGAAAGGGTTACAGAATTACTCTATAACTAAAGGCTACTCAAGTAACACTTGGCGGTGGAAGTAAAAATTAATTTGACTGCTTGATGACTGGGCCAGAACACGAACACAGTTCAATACAAAGAAAGGTAAAATCATTTGTCTGCAGGAAAGGCGCCGTGCTGGGCAATATACATTAAATGGAATAGCCAACATATTAATTAAAAAGATATAGACATTATTCTGGCAAAAAGAAAATCGATGGAACCATTTACTCAGAACAAAAGACAATACAACGGACCAAACAGGATAAGCTGTCAAAAGGACAGACTAAAGTATTATGATCAATAAGGAGATAACCATGACATAGGAAATCAGTTACTGAGAGAATAAAGTTAAAGAGAAAAAAATAAAACACAAGATTATGTGCAAACTAACTGCAAGAGTAGAAACTGAAATCCTTTGAAAATTTTTAAATAGTCACTTGGAGTTATTTGTGTGAATTAGGGTCTTTGGTTTATTAAGCAAAGATGTGTAAAATTTCACAGTTACTGTGGATCTGATCTGGGAAGAAGGGATACATTAAGATATATCTTTTGGCTTTATCAGAAGATAATGCTTTTAAAACAGCTTTCATACCTTCAGGGAGGGAATAAGGGGAAGACATTCTTACTGTTTAGAATATTCTCAGAAGAAATCTTAAACCAGAGGGTAAATCAATGGTAGGTGAAGCTAAAGGAAAAGTAATTACAGAAGTTTATAAAGTCCTCACCACTAGGGGCGCCTGGGTGGCTCAGTCAGTTGAGGGTCCGACTTCGGCCCAGGTCATGATCTCATAGCTCCTGGGTTTGAGCCCCGCGTCGGGCTCTGTGCTGACAGCTCAGAGCCTGGAACCTGCTTCTGCTTCTGTGTCTCCCTCTCTCTCTGCCCCTAACCTACTCGCATTCTGTCTCTGTCTCTCTCAAAAATAAATAAACATTAAAAAAAGTTTATAAAGTTCTCACCACTAGACAAAGACACATCTGGTGCTTCATTAAAGCATGTTCTAAAAATTGGCACAGAAGCACAGCATGACTGAGAATTTTAACGGTCTGGACATTTGAAGGTGTTCTATTTTATAGTTAAGGGGAGTGATATGTTAAGTGCCTTACCCAATTTACATAGTTAATAAGAAAAATAATCACAACCAATATCTGTTAGCCCAGTGCTATTTCTACTCAACCGTTTTGATCAATAAGAGCATAAAAGATGAACCATAATAAGCACTATAAAGAAGTTAAGCTAAAAAAAAAAAAAAAAAAAAAAAAGACAAGACATTAGAACATCCTCACAGTATAACTGCTATAAAAAAAGAAATGGTGTTTTTAATGAACTTGTAATTGACTATAAGCCTACAAAAAACCCAGAATGGGGCAAAGAGGCTAGTGAAGAATTTGGAAACTATGTACATATAAAGAATAACTAGGGAAAAAAAGCGTATAGTTATCCTAAAATAGGAGAAGCTTTGTAGAGTGGGTGGCTGGAAGGGTTAAGTCCATGATAAGTTGATTAGGTCTTAGAAATATATGAGAGGCTATATAACATGTTGTGGTGAGCTGAATGGCGGCTCTCCATGTTTTGATTACCAGAATTTATGAAGGACCTATTTGGAAACCTTTTTTTAGGTCTTTGCATATGTAACTAAGTTAAGAATCTTGAAATGAGGAGATCATCTAGTTTTATATAGGTAGGCCTTATATCTGGTGCAAGCGTATTTCTAAAAGATACACAGGAGGAGGCTGACAGAGAGGGTAAGGTGCCCATGGAAGCACTGCAGAAAAGCAGCCATAAGCCAAAGGGGCCTGGAAGCTGGCAGAGGCATGGGAGTCCAGACCTGTCAAAAACTTGATTTTGGGAACCTGGGTGGCTCAGTCAGTTAAGCATCCGACTTTGGCTCAGGTCACGATCTCACGGTTCGTGAGTTCAAGCCCCGCATCAGACTCTGTGTTGGCAGCTCGGAGCCTGGAGCCTGCTTCAGATTCTGTGTGTGTGTGTGTGTGTGTGTGTGTGTGTGTGTGTGCCCCTCCCTGCCCGTCTCTCTCTCTCTCTCTCTCAAAAATAAATATTAAAAACAAAAAACAAAAAACAAAAAACGACTTGACTTTGAACTTCAGGCTTCCAGAATTGCCAGGGAATAAGTTTCTGTTGTTTAAGCCACCAAGTTTGAGGTAATTTCCTGTAACAGCCCTATGAAACTAATACGTTAAGTAGACTAGAAATTAGATTTCTATGCAAAACAAGGTAAATGTAAACATAAAATTAATGGATTATACACAGGGGCAGATTTGGGCACACTTTAAATTACAAGCGTTTTATTACACTTCTCCAAAGTGTAATAAATCATCTTCCCACATGGACGTTAAAAGAGTAATTCCTTTGTAGGATCTGGGAAAGTGACTTAATGATCTCTAAACACCTTTCCCATTTTAAGATTCTATATACAGTAGCAACTAACAGTCAATTTAAACTCAGGAACTTATTATTATTCAATATTTAACACTGATCCTGGTAATAAAATCATTGATAAGTTAAAAACTCATTATCCTGTATAAAAGCAGAATGACAAACAGAAGGGTCTTAATTCATAAATACCCTAATGATGACCTCATATTAAGACCTTCATATACATGTAAGATGTATGTGAAAATAGGACAGGTCTATGAATGTGTGGCCAAGTTTAGGTTCAACATTATTTTGGACTCAACTGGACAACAGAAATTTCATAAAGAGGCAATTTTAAAAAGGTACACTTGTCTAAGAATTATTTTGCTTTCCAAATTTAACAGATAAGTGCTTTGTGAAGATTTTGCTAATATAAAATTTGTCATTGGTTTTAAGTGGAGTCAAGTCACAACAGTAATATATCGAGATGAATAAGGAACAACACTTTTTGGAAACAAAATAATGAAAGAAGATTTTGAAAACACTCTTCCGAGGTGGTTTCATGGCCTAAGTTTTGACATGTAATAAAACATAAAGAGTCAAATGGCTTATAACAAAATAACAGTTAATAACTCCCACCATCTATTAGACAATTTTGGGGAGAATAATAAAACACTGGGTTCCCCTGGCTTCTTTAGAAATTTGATGAGTTTTAACGTATTGACTAAGTGATTAAGAAGTAAAAAAGAAACAAAGAATAGCAATTAATAGCTATTACTTTTTAATAAAAAAGACTCAGCTACATATGAGAGCTTACCTGTTCTGTTTCAAAGATGTCCCGAAGGTGTTCAAGACCAAGGCTTTTCAGGAATTGGCTGATATTCATGTCAAGACCCGCAACTAAAAGAAACACATTGAAGTTTTCAGAAAGCAGTTGATCAATCTAAAGGAAGTTACAGTATTTATTTAAAGCGATGACTCTGACACCCTTGGCTGTGCAGATGATTTTATACAGCAAAACAATCCAGCAAAAATTTTATACAGCAAAACAATACAGCAAAAATAATCCAGAATACATAATTTTATACAGCAATAAATACAAAAATTTTATACAGCAAAACAATACAGCAAAAATAATCCAGAATACATAAATTTAATTCAGACACTTCAGGTTATCTCTGAATTTGGCAGAGAAGTAAAAGAAGAATTTATCTTATCAGTAGCATTTATATTAATTGTAATATTATAATCTAATGCTTTTAGTGAAATATTTAATAGCTGGAATTAAAAATCGAATTTACCAGTTATTGTTTCAGTTTCCACTCCTTAAACATCTTTCAGGTTTTTTTTTTTTTTTATATAATTTCAATAATAAGACTCACCAGTAGTTAAATGAAATATTATGGCTAAAAGTGGGTATACTGGAATATATGTAAGTAAGAACAAGATTGATGTCGAAAGATTTAGTCTATGAAGACAGTTCTTACAAACTGGTGTGTATATGAAGACTCACAGACAGGATGTCTTTAAGATAGGTGTTCAATACTTACTAAGAGAGGTAAGTGAAATCTATTCATTTAAAAAGCCCAAAACCAAATACGCATTCACAAGTATACTCGCCTTCTCCCTCCTTCCTTTCTGCGCCCGCTGCCCCATCCCCTGTGTTGGCCGCTCCTCCTACGGCCAGTTCCGCTAAAGGGCCAGTGAGGTTATCGATGCTGCTGGCAGCAGACAGGCAGGAGGGGGTGGATGCTGGTGAGATCAGAGAGGCACTCACTACGGTGGCCTGAGGTTTAAAACAGGTGGGTAAGGCCTCCGGGGGCATGGCATCTATCAGCAAAGCTCTGATGTCGTCAGCCTAAAAAGAGTAATACAAAAAAACCCAAAAAACAAAAAAACAAAAAACAAACACACACACACACACACACAAAAATACTATATTTTAAAACAGTAAGTTTTTCATTAAGGACAAAATGCATTCTGAAATTAGTCTTCGGCAAGTGCCTCATTATTGCCTATTGGTTTTTGATCATTTGTTTCCAGCCCCCGGCTCCAAAAAGTCCCAGCAGCTTCTTTTTTTTTTTTTTTTTAATTTTCTTTTTTATTTTTTAAAATTTACACCCAAATTACTTAGCACATAGGGCAACAATGATTTCAGGAGTAGATTCCTTAGTGCCTCTTACCCATTTAGCCCATCCCCCCTCCCACAACCCCTCCAGTAACCCTCAGTTTGTTCTCCATATTTAAGTCCCAGCAGTTTCTACAGGTAGACCTGGAATCCCTGTATAATTTTTAAAAAAATATTTCATCTTTTGAAGATCTGATGTACAACTTGGTGACTTCAGTTAATAAAACTGTATTATATACTTGAAATATGCTGAGAATAGATCTTAAATGTTCTCACTACACACACATCCACATATACGAGAGTTAACTATGAAAAAAAGTCTAAGAGTGTAGAATGTAGACTATGTTGACTTCTGGAATGTTTTTTAACACTACATGTGCATACAGCTGTTCATACTGATCACACAATCACACACGTATTTAAAGGAGAAGTTCATTTTTTTTTTTTTTTTTTTTTTTTTTTGAGAGAGAGAGCGCGAGCGAGCATGCACAGGTGAGCGGTGGAGGGGCAGAGAGACAGGGGGAGAGAGAATCTTAAGCAGGCTCTATGCTGTCAGCGCAGAGCCCGACTGAGGGTTTGATTTCATGACCTGAGCTGAAATGCAGAGTTGGATGCTTAACCAACTGAGCCACCCAGGTGCCCCTCATCTCTCATTTAAAAAAGAACCCGCTGGGGGCTCCTGAGTGGCTCAGTCAGTTGAGCATCCGACTTCGGCTCAGGTCATGATCTGTTTGTGGGTTTGAGCCCCATGTCGGGCTCTGTGCTGACAGCTCAGAGCCTGGAGCCTGCTTCGGATTCTGTGTCTCCCTTTCTCTCTGCCCCTTCCCCTCCCTTTGCACTCTGTCTCTCTCTCTCAAAAAATAAATAAACCTTAAAAACATTTTTTTAAAAAAAGAACCTGTTGCAGAGTGTTAATTCTCAATCTTTTCTTTAGAAGGAGTTTCTATACTTACAGTATGTTTTTGTATACTGTTTAAATAACAATGATGATTTTTATTCATTGTGCATTATTTAGTGCACACTTAATAATTTAACGTATATTTAAAATCTGGAGACTTTTTTTTTTAATGTTTGTTTATTTTTGAGAGAGACAGAGCATGAGTGGGGGAGGGGCAGAGAGAGGGTGAGGGAAAATTCCAAGCAGGCTCTGAGCTCTCAGCACAGAGCCCAACGCGGGGCTCTTACCCACGAATTGTGAGATCATGACCTGAGCTGAGGTGGGATGCTTCACCGACTGAGCCACCCAGGGGCCCCTCTTTAATCTGGAGACATTTTACAAGGATGCCACTTTAATTTGGCCAGCTTATTTGTTAACTTCACAGTTAGGCACAACTGCTGTGAGACTACGTAGGAGCCTCCAAAAACAGAAAGCCATTAATTCCCTCCTCCGTGTGCCGCTCTTCCCATCAAGAGGTGGCATCTATTTCCCTTCCATTAAATCTGGGTTGCCCTGCGGGTTTCTGTGACCAAGAGAACATAGAGGGAGTAATGTCTGAGGCTTTTAGTCAGGCTTTAACAGAAATGGCAGCTTCGACTTCTCTCCTAGAAGGTGTCTCCATGCTGTAAAAAAAGGTCAGGTTGGACTACTGACTCAGGAGGGGCTCCATGGAGAGAGGCCCTGTAGGATGAACGGCCACCCCAGACCCTGCAGCTCAGCCGAGGTCCTGGCTGAAGGCAGGTGCACGTATCACTGCCTCGCTGAGCCGCCGACCCACGGAACCGTGAGGAATAATAAATCACCGTTTTACTCCACTCACTCAGTTTTGGTTAAGCTACTAAGTGTTTTGAAGTGGTCTGTTACTCAGCAATAGATGTATGAAACAGGATGTGGCTTGGAAAAGTACTTCAGGTTAAAAAATTATAAATTATTGTGCATATTAATTTACTTTTCCATCTTCGGAAAAATAATATACTGCCTAGAAGGTAATTTTTCTTGGACTCTTTCATAGTCTCAGGTAAATGATCATGAACATCAGTTGTTCCTGAACAATATGCCAAATGTAAAAGTTAGAAGATATTTTACTAATGCAATTCTCTGAGGATATACGGTATGTTCTTCTAGGATTGTTTTCCCTCCCTGTTAGGCATGGCAAAAAGAATTAAGTTAGTGTACTGCTTAGCTTGCCTTAATAGAATTCTGAATTATATAAAAAATACACATTTAAAAAATTCAGAAGGAAGGAAATTTGTTCTTATTCTAAGTGAAATACGCACCACTAAGGTAAACCTGCTGCTGCAAATTTTTTAAAAGTATTCAGGGGCGCCTGGGTGGCGCAGTCAGTTAAGCGTCCGACTTCAGCCAGGTCACGATCTCGCGGTCCATGAGTTCGAGCCCCGCGTCGGGCTCTGGGCTGATGGCTCAGAGCCTGGAGCCTGTTTCCGATTCTGTGTCTCCCTCTCTCTCTGCCCCTCCCCCATTCATGCTCTGTCTCTCTCTGTCCCAAAAATAAATAAACGTTGAAAAAAAAAATTTAAAAGTATTCATTTATTTATTTAGAGAGAGAGAGGACAGCACGCACGGGGGAGGGGCAGAGAGACAGGGAGAGAGACTCCCAAGCAGGCTCTGTCTGCATTGTCAGTGCAGAGCCCTCCATGGGGATTGATCTCATGACCCTGAGATCATGGCCTGAGCTGAAATCAAGAGTCGGATGCTTAGCTGACTGAGCCACCCAGGCGCCCCAGCTCTGTAACTTAAAGTCATCTCTGAAAGTATAAATTTAGGGTTTTTTTTTAATCAAAAAAAATTTTTTTAACGTTATTTAATTGTGAGAGAGAGAGAGTAGACAGAGTGCGAGCAGGGCAGGGGGCAGAGAGACGGGGAGACACAGAATCCGAAGCAGGCTCCAGGCTCTGTGCTGTCGGCAAAGAGGCCAACACGGGGCTTGAACCCACAAACCGTGAGATCGTGACCTGAGCTGAAGCTGGACGGTTAACTGACTGAGCCACCCAGGCGCCCCGAAAGTATAAATTTGAAGCAATACTAAATAACTCAGAATGAAGACTCACCGTCGCCAGATCTAAAGGTGTCTGGCCTTCCTGGTTCTTCATAGTTGGATCTGCACCATGTGCTAGGAGTAGGGCACATAACTGTGTCCTTCCTTTCTGGGCTGCTTCATGCAGAGGAGTAAACGCCCACTTGTCTGTTGCATTTACACACGTGTTGTATTTTATCAGCAATGCTGCTATGTCCACATGCTGAGGAAAAACAAAGGATGTGAAGAGTGAAGAATGAGATTGGTGAAGCTCCATCAGGTACGCTTGTTTTATTTAACATTTCATTCCCTCTGTATCTCTATTCTCATCCTTCATAGAAGTTTCTTCTATTAAAAAAGGCCTACGTGGCCCACTCCTGTATTTTGGACTCCCGTCTTTTCTCGCCCACAGAAGCTCAATTCCGCAATCACTCCTTTACCTGGTGACTCTTCCCAGGGGCTTTTAACATTTTTTATTCAGCCTTTCAACACGGTCAGGTCTATCTTAAAAACGAACACACGAAATGCAACTATTACCTGACTCCACGCCTCCTACTAAAGGTCTAGTCTGTCTGTCAAACCTTTCAAACAAGTGTTCTTACTTGCTTCTTTTATGTTCCTATTTCCCTTCTAGCCACTGCAATCTGATCTATTTATTGAAATACGCGTCTCAACGATTCTCCGTGTTCTCTCTTCAGCCTTTGGGAAAGGTAATGTAACATAACAAAATGACTTTTTACAAAACTTAGTCTGTCATGTCCAAAATGACTCGAGGGTGGGGGAAATGTCAGGAGCAGACGCGTTAACTGACAAACGGCGTGAGGTGCTCAGATGCCGAACTATGACAGAGGAAGAATAGAAAAGAAGAGCTACATTTGAGAAATTGTGAAGGAAAAACTACTGGGTTTTAAAAAGACATTAACTACAGAGAAAGAAAGTGAGAGACAAGTCAAAGATGACTACCTCTTTTTTTGCAAAATTTGTCTAGAAGATTTAAAAAACAGAATTGGAACTGTTAACAGAAACTGAGCAGTTTAAGTGGGAATGAAACTGTAAGAAAGTTAAAGTTCACTTGGGGTAAATAGTTTTTGAGGTAAAATATCAAAGTAATGATGTTCCGTAAATGGCCTGACACAAATGGCTGGAGCACAGATAAGGGTCTGTTTATTCACTCACTTAACGCTCTCCCACCACCTCCCCCAACAAGCACACATTGGTGAACACCTACTATGCGCCTGGCCCTGGGGGTAGGGACCCCGGGGAGGTCTGCAAAACAAAATGTCTAGCTGATAGCTGCAGCCAGGTGATAAATGAACTCACTAAGAAAAGGAATTCAGAAAGATGATTTCAAGGGGGATAAAGCCTTGAGAGAACAACATTTGGGGAAAGGAGAGTGGGCGAAGGGTCCCCAGAGGAGACAAAAGAGGCACTGAGAACGAAAGAACTATAAAGAGGCAGGACTGCGCAAGGCAACGCAGGAGAAAGTTTCAAGGAGAGCAGTTTCTCTCAAATAGTTAAGTTCTACATAGCATAAAGTTTGTTTCTTCCCAAAAGTCCTCATAAAATAAGCTTCAGATAAGCAATTATGCAACAGTAATATTGATTCAATGATTGGGCTTTGAGAATAATAAAAATAACCTTATTCTTATAAACATATTTAGGGATGCTTAGTTTGGTTACCTACCACTAATGAATGCATTTTTGAAATCCATTTCAACTCCAATATTCTATAATTCTGTGCAATTGGCACATTTGTGTTCTTTATGGATACATTTCCTGGCATAACTTGATCACTTTTAATAATTAACTCAGAAGCACATTGTCTGTTGAGACTAAAATTCTGACTCATGCTGCAGTATATTGAATTATCAGAAACTTTCGTGAGAATGAGAAGAGATGGGGAAGGCAGAAACAGAAATATCCCAAGATGAGATTTAGGCCACCCTTCTTCATATTTTCTATATGACAGCCTTTTGCTCCCCTGAAGACACTCACCTCAAAAAGAACAGACACTTTTTCTGAGGCAATATTAAAGCTTTTTAAAGATAACACAAGTACTTATTATTTCAGGAAAATAGTTTCAGAAAATAAAGAGAAGAAAATTTATTAGGAAAATACCAATGAAATAACATTTTTATTAAAAAAAATTTTTTTTAATGTTTATTTTTGAGAGAGAGACAGCGTGAGCAGGGGAGGGGAAGACAAAGAGGGAGGCACAGAATCTGAAGCAGGCTCCAGGCTCCGAGCTGTCAGCATAGAGCCCGACACGGGGCTCGAACTCCTGAACCGTGAGATCATGACATGAGCTGAAGTCGGACACTTAACTGACTGAGCTACCCAGGTGCCCCAGACCAAATAACTTCTAAGGACACTCTTACATTTGCTCTGAGAGTACAAGAAACAAAATAGGAGTAAAGGAACATCATGACACGAGGGCGTCTGAGAACAAGCTATGTTTTGTGATCCTTTTGGGATTAGGAATGATACATCATCATTATAAAACTGATTCTAACACAAAAGATAAAAATAGGTACCAACTGTGGTATTATCCAAATTACTTAAAACAAAACAAAAAACAAAACAAAACAAAACAAAACAAGCCACCTGGGTGGCTCAGTCGGTTGAGCATCCGACTTCAGCTCAGGTCATGATCTCATGGTTCGTGAGTTCGAGCCCTGCATCGGGCTCTATGTTGACAGATCGGAGCCTGGAGCCTGCTTCAGATTCTGTGTCTCCCTCTCTCTCTGCCCCTCCCTGCTTGTGCTCTGTTTCTCTGTCTCTCTTTCTCTCAAAAATAATAAATATTTAAAAATTAAAAAAAAAAGTTTAAAACAAAACAAAACAAAAATCCCCCAAAACGTATCTCCCTTTTTCAAAGGACATATGTTGAAAAGGGATAGCTTTTTGTTCAGTTAACCCAAATCATGGAATAACTTCAAGCTTCTCTCCAGTAAGGTTATACGGCATTCAAACAATGCTTCTGATGATTCACTTTATTCTACTCCCATGTGTACTGGCAGGGTGATATAATTCGGTAGACTAATTCGCACAGGTTTCCAAAATTAGATACTCCCAGGAAAACTACGTGTGTGTGTAAAATGAATTGTATACAAGTATATGGTATTTATTATTCAACTTTCTTTATATTGAATATGTAGTTTATGCTTGGAGAAACCAATTGGATGCTTGTTAAATTTGCTGACAGACATGTGAAAGGGCAATAAACAGGAAGGAGTATATTACTACCAAAGTAGATGAAAAACACAATTCTTAAGTCTTCTAAATAGCTATACCACTGGGACAAAAATAGTAACTGAAATTTAAGGCTGACAAATGCAATAAATAAGCTGCAGCTTAGTTCTATACCATTTATAAGAACAATGTACTGAACTGGAAGGTCTAGAAAAGGAACTGAACTCTGCTGGAATGTTTCCAGAAGAACGAGCCAATTAAACATAGCTTCAGAATCCAGCTGAAATGCAGAACGCTTTAAATGACAGATACTATGTAAATACTGTGAGGGCCTTAATTCAATTTTAGAAAGCTGGAAAGTAGGGAGAAGAGAAACATACTTGGGCTCCAGTTAGAACCATTTAATTGTATGAATGTCATGAAATCCACCCAATATTATACACTTTGGACAAAGCACTGAAAAATGAAAAAGTCAGCAAGTTGATTTATGAGATAATAGAAAATCACATGCTTCACGGTAAATAAATATTGAGGTCTTACATTTGTTAATAGAAAAATGAACTGTCTCGTGTAAATGTATATTAAAACTATAAGGCATTATAATACAAAACACTGAACAAGATAATGTATATTACCACTAATATAAACTCTCATGAAATCTACACCTTTTATTTAAACTTCTTAAACTATGTGTTTCTCTGTTTAGAAAAACCGAGGTGGCAAAGTTCTTTCTATATAAAATGGTCAAAGATATACAGACAGCAGTCTGAGCTCTCTAGAGGAAAAAAGGTAAAATACAAGTCAAAGAATAATTACCAATAAATAACAGCTTAAGTAGCTTTATGTAATTTCACAGACACCTCACATGATTATTTTATCCCCAGGCTACCAGTCATTATCTCCTACTGAAGCTAGTTAGTCTGCGTCTATTTCATGCAGATACTGAGCTGGTCAAGCACACACATTACTCCTAGGGCTGTGCAACGTAAAAGTGACATACAGCCCATATTCTAACCAGTAGGATGGCTGTGGGGAGTGACTTATCTTATAATAATAGTTATTATCCCAGATTTTATAGTGCCTTAGGCTAGAGAATGCACTTTCCACATTCAGGGTCTCATCTAATTATCACAACAACCCTGTAAAGAAGATTTCAGCATCTGAGTTCTACTAACGGGAAAACTGAAGATCAGAAAGATTAAGGCACTTCCTGAAGATGACTGGGTTACTGAGTCAAAGCCTAAAGACTAGATCCCAGATCTTTAGATCCTGAGTTCAGGTCCTTCCATTACACACAGCTGCCTGCAAGGTCTTGCTGGACTAAAACTCAAGAGTCATTTCTTGAAGAGCTGAAAATGGCAAAGTGTATAGTATCAGGGAGAAGCCATGTCAGCAGGGATTACTGGGTAACACTATACCCCAACCTACTCTGCGAATAGCTTTATTTTTAACTTAGAAGTTTCTATTTCATAGGAAGCACCGCAAAAATCTCTACAAAACTGTTATTTCAGGGCAGGGCAGGGCACACAGCCAGGACAGCTCAGGCATCACTGGGATGAATACAATATAACTAGTGTTTTGCCACTTTAATGTGGACCAGAGCCCCACGATTTCATTAAAATATCCAGCCAAGGCTCATTGTAACATGAATAAAAAGGGACTTTTGAAAGATAACAGATTTGTATACCCATAGATAATAAAAATATAATTCTATCTACCTTTTAGTTAAAAGACAGGGTAGCTTTGAAAATTTTTAGATTGTGTTTAACATTGGTCCTCGTTTTAAATGTACTAATTGAGATTGAGATAAATATTGATTTGATATGGTTATTAACAATAGATTATACGGTATACCAATTGCATTAGATAAAATAATTTTGTAGAGCAGAGATTCTCAGTGGCGGGGATAATCTGACCTACTGCCAACTGGAATCACTGTGTATCATAAGGGATGCTACTGGGACATTTGTATATGCCAAAACCCTGGCAAAAAAGAAAGGTCAAGAAACCACAGGGCTAAAGCTTTTAGTGAATAACAACACATAGTCATGAACTCACAGATATTTGATTTTTGAATTCGTAAGTTGAATACCAGAAGGACTTTTAATGACTCAAAAACTCCACCTCCACAAGGAGGTAAAAATACCTACCATAAACACATTATCTAGCCTGTTAACATTCTTCAGTAGGATGGGACAAACCAGGTTGACCAAAACCTCTACCCACATGCTCTTTACACAGCCTGGAGGATTTTCTGTTCATTTTTACTTTGAAAAATTACCTTCATTTACACAGAGCTTAGCAGCAGGGATGTGGTAACACACAGGATAACACGAGATGAGAGAATGAAACACAAAAATGTCCACTATTTGTCTCCCACAGAGTTAGAAGGAGAGAGCAGATGGATGATGGTGAAGTAAGTTCATGAAATGGCACAGGGGGCCTCTGGTCTGGGCCCTGACTGCATTACACCTCCCCTCGGCTGATGGAAGATGCTTCGAGGGAACGTGAAAGAAGACAAGACTGACCTGCACACTGCACTACTCGTTAACCGCAAGACAGATCACGAGACATTTTGATTCTCTCCTCACGCTAGTCACCACATGATACACGTGTAAGTAACATCTCAACACTGTTCTGATCTGAGAAAAGGTAAAATACTTGACTTTTCAAGGAAGTTTTACGTTCTTTGCTCTCTGTGACAGCTGTGAAGACTGTGACAGTGGAAGACTGAAGGGACAGAGCTTAGCCACAGCCACAACGTGTAAAATACACTGAAAAGCACACAGACCCACAGAGTCTACATACAACTGACCGTGTAAGTTTTACCAGGTTGGGGCAATTACTCCTTCTATTGCCACACCCATTCTTACTCCAAAGACTCCGCTTTAAGTTCTACTGGACCCATCAGTTTGATAAACTCTTAACTGAAGCTTTATCAAACAGATTAGTGGAACACAGTATGGAGAGAAGGATCACGCTAAGAAGTGAACGTTAATCTCCAAACAATACGTATTTGTAGTTCTAACACAGAGGTAAAGAAATTCTACATAACTGTGTAAGCAGATGGTAGCGGTAAATATTTAGCGTTTCTGGTCTTCAGGAGAAACGTATGCTGTGCAGTGAAACTGGGCATCTTATATGAAGGAAGGTTAAAATTCTAATAAATGTCATTAAAGATAATCATCTTTGCACAGATTACTGCAGTTCCAAGAGGATTTCAGTACTAATAATACATGCAGTAAATATGGTAACTTTCGACGAATTTATGTGACATTTGGAAGTATAATTTTCTTTCCTGTTTGTCCAACTCAAAACTAGACTGTTTGCTTTTCTTAAGAGTATTCCCACTCAGACTGTCATCTCTCTGAAATACAGATTTTTGCAGAGGGGATATGAGAAGATGAGGACATTCCTTATGGAGGGCAAGGGGGAAAGACAGTAAGAGAATATGGAAATCGCAATGATTAGGTTTTACTTAATAGCTTGTTAGACTTTTGCAAATCCAGACACTGTCCTCATCAATAGTGATTCCAGCTGTGAGAACCCCTGGTATGTACGATCGGGCATCTGTGGGTTTTTATAATCAAATAGGGATTTAGTGAATGAACAGATAAGCACATGAACATTCATCCTGCAGGATTATTCCTGTGTGATTCAGGCCTGAGTGGGCCTGGGTGACTTCCAGGCAGTCAGTTTCAACAGACATCATCAACACACTGCAAGACACTCCCCTTCCTCGTCCTCTTTCAGCTGATGATTACAGTTCCAGTGCTTGGAGAATGGCTCTGGACTCTCACTGTGGGGCTTTAGCTAGTCAATCAAATTCTACGAAACCGTATGTACCAAGAGCTGAACCATTTACCTGAATATTTTTAAGATGCGGACGATAAACAAAAGCAAGCATGATTTCTATGCCTGCAAATAAAAAGCCGCCTGGGTCTTACGGTTTCTAAAAGCTCTATCATTAAATATTAAATGAGCAGCCATTACACACCTGTTACTGCGCTAGACAATGTGAGGAGAACAGGGAGCTGTAAAGAGCACGGCCCTTGACCAAAAAGGTAGTTAAGCTTAACTGGGAAGGCTAGAAATGCGCTGAACAGGAAGACTAGGATTGTCCTAAATTATGTTGTTGGTTAGATATCTACTTACTTCATGCACAGTATGCATTTGATAGAATAGTAAATGTCAGTGAAGTTTTCTAGACTTGAAATGTAGCATGCTCACCCCATAGGATGCTGCGTTATGAAGAGGAATTAAACCACCTTTGTCTTGGGCATTAACATCTGCTCCGTGCTCCAGAAGATATTCAGCTACCTCCAGGTTATTGTAGCCTGCTATTAGAGTGGAAGAGGCGAACATGTCAGATTAAAGAACTATATATTTCTATCTATGTATACAAATCACAAGGGCTGGAAAACGTGACGATTTTAATACTTTTTGCTCATCTGAGCAGCTGATACTACTCTCACGTGACTAAGAGCCTTTATGATAAGGTGTCATACAAAATGAAGCCAATCAAAAGCATTTCACTATTTCTGTCCAGCGTCTCCCTCATCTTCTGGTGAGCTGTATCAGGTATCCGAGCAAGCACCGTGAGCCTCAGAGCTGGGGGCGCTCACCCGCCAGGTGCAGAGGGGTGGAGTTTCTGCCCTGGGTGTCCCTGCAGTTGATATTCTCTGGGGTGCAGAGCTTCTGCACTCTCGCCAGGCAGCCTTTCTTGGCAGCATCCAGTAAGGCGGCGTCTCCCCTCAGCAGGTCCTGGATGTCCGTGTCTCCCTCTTTTACCAAATCTAATGGCGTGTTTCCATCTCTGTTCTTTTTGGTTGGGTCTGCTCCATGCTAAAACAACAACGAGACAAAACCAAATGGGGTTTGTATTTTCTATAGTACCTTTCTTAAGGTCTTTTTAATTTTTAACTTCACCTTCATTCACCCAAAGAAAGGTATCTATATCCTGTATGCATTTGGAAAACCAGAGGCAACACCCGCCTTTTCTTTGTAAATTCCCTGCTCAGCAATATGGTGGAGCAGCTTTGTAACTACTTCTCAGTGGAAAGTCTAAGTCTTAGGATCAGTGGTGACAGTGAAGTGGGGAAGGGGCTGGGCACCTTTTCTGTGTCACGTTATATACTTTCCCAGACACCACGCTGTCTCCGGAAACCCCTTTTCCTTTTAAGAGCAGCCTGGATATTACTTTTTGACCAGACTTCAATGACATAAAGATATTTAGTGTGTATAATGGGAAGGAAGTAAGAAGAGGAAGATACACCAGTGGAAAAAGTACTTGATTCTAAATGCAATCAATACCAAAGTCTGCTAATTTTTTACTGTTTTCATTTTAAGTCTTAACACCTCATGTGAAATTAGGTGTAGATGTATTAACAATGGATTTGATTTTAAAAGTTGAATCATCTACACCTACAACATGAAACGAATAAAAGTCAAGGACCTTTATTATGGGCCTGACAGACTGCTACCGGCCCACTGGAGAAATTCAGAATAAACCAAACTAGACAGTGAATTCACAGTGACCTGGAAGTTCTTTGTTTGTTTGTTTTTCCTGGAAGTTATTTCTTACCACCTAGTGAAGGTAAAAATGAGTATCAAATACATTATTATCCTTAAGACTCATAAAAACATATTTAATGGCATAAAGGTGGTGGGGACAAGAATTCTATTTATGTTTAACCAGCATAAGCTTTAAAAAAAAAAAGAAAACTACACAAATATATGTCTGATCATTTCTCACATCTTTTAATCCACAAAATTATGTTAGTTTCATATAACTATTAGTTCCTACTATCTCGTTGCTTTCCCCCAAATTTATATGAATAACTTTGTTTAAAGATTACTTTGTATTTTAATAAAAATCTAATATCAAAGTTCTTATAAGACATGTATGTTTAATGTTTGATAATGAGCAATGAGTTTGTTAATAATAATACAGCTACTAAGAAAAAAAAATCAAAGTTGATTGAAAAACTTGTTTCTCCTTCTACCATGTTTTCTGATATTAATACCACAAGTATAAGCAATGCAAACAAATGCAACTCTTTCCAAGACCTACCTTGATGAGTTGTGATGAAATGAACTCATCAGATCAGCTCAGAAAGATACTTCAGACACTATTCAAAGCTATGCAAGTATCATGTTATCACACTCAAACACACCCCTAAAATAGAAAATGTAAGCAATCTCTACAGCACTTATTGTACTTAATAATTCACTGTGATGTAATTTTCCATACTAACCGAAAAGCCAATGCAATTACTTTATATTTTATAATTTTAAAAATTACATACTTTTAAAAGGAGCTTGCAGATTTCATATTTTCCTTTAGCTGCTGCTTCATGCAGAGGGGTAAACTTCCATAAATCCGCCACATTGACAGAAGCCCCATGCCTTACTAAAAGTTCTGCTACCTCATAGTGTCCATATGAACAGGCATTATGAAGGGGCACCAAGCCACTAAACAAAAGAAAATTATTTTTAAGACATGTAACAGATCTTTGTGTTAAGATGATACTTATAATAAAAATGATGTTAATTCTTCTTTGGCAGTGACTATGATGAGCACTCACTTAAAAAGAAAGAATTCTCCCTGGGTCTTGAAGATAAAGTCACCCATTTCCAAGTAAGGATTAATAATTTCAAAAACACCCCTTTCAACACAAGGATTTCCCCTAGCCTCTTGGTGAAATTTCACAGCAATCCTATGCTTAGAACACATACAGACAGACCCAGAGAAAAGGTTCCATCACAATATTTTTAATCAAAAAAAATTTTTTTAAGTTTATTTATTTATTTTGAGAGAGAGAGTGCAAGCAGGGGAGGGGCGGGGAGACAGAATTCCAGTCAGGCTCCACCTTGCCAGCAGAGAGCCTGATATGGGGCTCAAACCCACAAACTGCGAGATTCATGACCCGAGTGGAAATCAAGAGTCGGATGTTTAACTGACTGAGCCACCCAGGCGCCCCTCCATCACAATATTTTTAATTCAGGTTTCATCCTGGTGATAGGGAGAGCAACACTACAAAGTGATTTCAGGAATAATTAACCAATAATCTGGCTTCATCCACTCAGATTTTCTTCCATTTGGGTTTTCCTAATGAAAATGGTATGCTTACTTATAAAATAGACAAAAAAAATTAACTAATTTACTCAGTCAAGTTATACCTTCTGTCTTTCGTTTTTATTTCTGAATTCTTAATAATTCAGCAGTGGCTTCAATGCACAGATTTAATATTTAGATGTTAAGCAATGAAAAGTCAAAATTCAAGTGATCCAGGAATTGTAGTATTTGGTGAGGAAAATAATGACACCAACCATAAACTCTAGTTGCATGAGAAATCTAGCCACCTCAGCTCATGAACACACTATTCTGAGACAACTCCAAGCTCTGGTTAGAAGGCAGCTGGCATTCTAAAAGGATAGAAAGCCGTTCCTATAAACAGGGTGCAATGAAAGGATAAGCTTAAGTTGCACTTAAAATATAACAAAAACAAGGTATCAAATGTTTTTTTTTATTTAGAGATCAGTACTTTTGTTTTTAATATTTTGAGATAAAAAATATTAAGTGCTGGGGCACCTGGGTGGCTCAGTCAGTTAAGCGTCTGACTTTGGCTCAGGTCATGATCTCTCGGTGAGTTCGAGCCCCGCGTTGGGCTCTGTGCTGACAGCTCAGAGCCTGGGGCCTGCTTCGGATTCTGTGTCTCCCCCTCCCCCACTCATACTCTGTCACTCTCAAAAATAAAAAATAAAATAAATAAACATTAAAAATACTAAGTGCTAACTACAATGGGCAGTAGAAATAAATGTTGGTTGCTCTCCAGTGGACTACAAAACTTCAAGCCTGATGTATCCCTTTTAAAAGATAAATCCATAATGGTTAATTAAAGTCTAAATTGTGTGGTTTAATTCTACAGTACTCTGATATGTAATTGCACGGAAAAGTGCTTGCTTATTTCTATTCTGAGATGATATGAAATTAACTCAGAATATGGAAGCTCATTTCAGTTAAAACTTCCTTCTTGCATCACTAAATAGCTGCCATGGCTGCTTTAAACTCTGACTGGATAAATTAAAATAATTTAGTAAACTAACATAAAAATACAGAATATCTGAGTTGGTAAAAATAAAATTATGTGTCTATTAATAGCAATGACGTTGGGATGGATGGCTTCTTTTGGAAAGAGATTATACATTTTTAATAGCAAAAAAAAGGACACACAATAAATTATAAACTATATAAACATATTCATACAATGCAGTAAAATACTATGATAGGCATTAAAAAGATGAGATGAACAATTAAGTACTGATATGGAAAGCCATTCAAGATCTATTTCTGGGTGAAAGAGCAAATTACAAAGCAGGCTGCATGGAATGGCATCCGCACTTATGTTAAAAACGAGCCGACCCCCCACAGCAGCATTCCCACTGCTTTTAAAAAGTCTGGAGGATTACAACAAAATTTTTATCTAGAAGGTGGGGTGACAGGAATTTTCGTTTTCTATACTGTATGTTTCTATTAATGCTTTAGGTTTTAAAAAAACATGCATGACTTTTTTTTTTTTTTAATTTTTTTTTTTTTTTTCCAACGTTTATTTATTTTTGGGACAGAGAGAGACAGAGCATGAACGGGGGAGGGGCAGAGAGAGAGGGAGACACAGAATCGGAAACAGGCTCCAGGCTCTGAGCCATCAGCCCAGAGCCCGACGCGGGGCTCGAACTCACGGACCGCGAGATCGTGACCTGGCTGAAGTCGGACGCTTAACCGACTGCGCCACCCAGGCGCCCCCATGCATGACTTTTTTAACAGGGAAAAGAATCTGAGACTTCAACCACATTTTAACAATTTTTAAGTCCCAAACAGCTCAATTCTAGCACCTACCCTTTGTCTTTGGCGTGGACATCGGCCCCGTGGTGTAGGAGGTACTCCACAACAGACACACGATTGTAGCCTGCTGCAAAGTGTAGAGGTGTAGAATGCCGACCCTCCAAATCTCTGCAATTCACATTTTGAGGGCTGCAAAGTTGCTTTAGTGACACACACACACAAAGGACATTAATATTTATTCATAGGTTTTGCTCCACAATACCGCAGGCATCTTAGATAAACTGTAATTTTCTAATGAATATTTATTTCCAAAGATTAGATCACGCAAGTGATGTTTAAAAATCAACACTATGCCTGGCTTCACAGTGTCTACAAATGTTCTTACTGTTTACAGAGCAATTTAATCTTTTTTTCATCATTTCCTGGCCAAAATCCTAATCGAAAAGAAAAACCCGGCATAAAGCAAGGCTTTCCAAGGCAAATGATGCCTTCATTTTTCATCCTCACAGGGCGTTTCTCCCTGAGACTGACCGCCACAGCGCGTCTACGGTCCTGCACGCGGTCGGCCACTCCTTCCTCAAGCAAGACCGACCCTGCTTGACTGCAGAACCACCCAGAGCTCCTGGCTCTGCGGACATGGCAAGCAGAAAGCCTCCAGAAAAAAACAAATTCTGCCTGGGCCACCCACTCGGCCCCCTGACCCACTACAGCAAAGCCGGGCAGTCACCAGGGCTTGAGCTGATCTTTGGGAGATGTCCGTCTGACTCATAGAGTCAGACTGCTTTCAGTCATGCTCTAGTGTTTCGCCTTCCCTTTCGTCTCCTTCCGAATGCTACTGTCTCAGCACAAGCTCCATTCTGTCTGCTTACAGTGCAGTGGGAAGAAAAGAAAGGCCGGCGGGCTGTGCCACTGGCGGTGATAGATGAATTATAATAACAGTATGTGAATAATAATCCACAGTTTATTTAGAATCTCGTGTTCTTTCAGTGAGAGAATTACTGTCTGTGAAGGGGCTCATCATCTCCATCTCACAGATAAATACACCAAGGTTCAGAGAGGCTAAGTAGCTCGTCCTTTTTCATAGAGCTGGCAAGGCAAAGGTACAATGAAGACTCAGACCCGGTTTTCCTGATTTGTGATCTCTTGATCTTTCTGCTCGATCCCTGCTTACTCTCTTAATTGCTCTCGTTCAGGGAAGTGATGTGAAGAAAGGTAATAGAAGAACAGTCAAAAAAGCTGAGACAACAGTGACATTTTCTAGGCTACAAGGTGTGACGGCAGGACTTTCCAGGCATTTGACAATCTTGCTGCCACTGTAATGAGCTACGATTATATATATAAAAACTAGGACCTTGGAAGGCATCTGTTTCTACGGGTTTACTGACGAGGCGCCTTCAACGTTGGTAGGGTAGAAACAGGGCTTTTCAGGTGGTACAATGCTTACATGACAGAAGGAAGTCTGGGCCATAAGGGAGAGCCTACGATCTCATCAGCTCTATGTGGAAAAGCCCCAGACTCTAAACTCCGAAGAGCCACTGTCATCTGGCCAGGTCATACGTTTTATCCTTTCACAACAAGTGAATCTGTGGCTACATTAATACATATACTATAGAATCAAAAAACAGAATAAACACATAAAGTAAAAAGAAAGGATACAAACATTGGTAGCAAACACTTTCTACTGGTGTCCTACGTGATGAAAGCTGCTTCATGCTGCTGCTGGTGGCTCTTTAGGCTGTTATACTCTAAATTCACTTCTTTTCCATGCAGAGAATATTGGCAAAACAGGGATGAGGCTAAATGAGTTGAATAAAACACAACTCATTTAGCCAGGTCCCCAAAATAAAAGCTTATTTTGCTTATTAAATATTTGATTTCTAATATTTGGAAGTTCTTCATTCTCTGTTCCATTTCACTTTCTTTTGAGTGCCAAAGAATTTCACATCTTTCTCACCTAGTCTCCATAGTTTCAGTCAAGCTGTCTGCTTTACTCAGCAGACAGCCTTGCCTCTAATTCCTAATTTTTAAAAATACTTTCTGAAGCCTATAGGGAAAGCAACCTACCACACTTAATTCTCAGTCTGTCCTTTGCTTTTTTTCTTCCACTTCCATTCCATTCATAAAAAATTATTTGGCCTTTACTGTGAATGGATTGTTTCAGAAACCTGAAAGCTGTGGTATATTTGCCTATCAGTACATACAGAACACGTGGAATTAAAAACTACATATTCGGGAAATACTAAATGATGAATTTAATGATAATGGGCACATGTAGTAAGTCTGGAACCCAGATTATCAATGCTGTGATGCAGAAAAGGAGTCCTGATCACTTTTCTATTTAAAGATTTTTTTTTAAGTTTATTTATTTTGAGAGACAGAAAGAAAGAGAGTGCAAGAGGCAGTGTGTGTGCACGCACAAGCAGGGGAGGGGTAGAAAGAGAGGGAAAGAATCCCAAGCAGGCTCAGGCTCTGTGCTGTCAGCACAGAGACCAACACAGGGCTCAATCCCAGGAACCATGAGATCATGACCCGAGCCGAAACCCAGAGTCAGACGTTTAACTGACTTGAGTAACCCAGGTGCCCCTAAAGACTTTCTGTTATTAGGATACATTTTAAATGACAAGAAGTATGTAATTTTAATTATGAAAATAAAAAGTATATAATTTTAGATCTAAGAGAACTTTAAGATTTCTCCCCAGTGGCTATTACAACTGAAATTTACTATTTTTTCTTTAAATAACTTAGATGTTCTTGTAAGATGGAAGAGATGTTAGAAATGGCCACATACTGAAACAAAAATAAAATTTCTGCACATTTATTGTCATTTTCAACCAGAAAGAATGCTAAAGGTAGTTTGCTAAAAATCACAAAAATAGAGTTTGCTTAATAAGTGACAAACTTTAGTTTGTAAAAAATAATGTTACAACTATCAGTCCCAATTTCACACTAGCCTTTCTTTAAAAGGAAGGAAGGAAGGAAGGAAGGAAGGAAGGAAGAAAGAAAGAAAGAAAGAAAGAAAGAAAGAAAGAAAGAAAGAAAAACGAAACCACAAGACCAACCCCCAAACAAGAACAAAATGCCACCTCTTTCTATCACCCCTGCATGAGTGGTTACAGATAGGAAGTGTATTTATTTATTTAACATTTATTCATGTTTGAAAGACAGAGAGAGAAAGAGCACAAGCAGGGGTGGGGAGGAGAGAGAGGGGGACACAGGAATCTCAGGCCTGAAGGCTGTCCTTTTTGAGGCCCTGGGAGACTTGAACTCACAGTGCGAGAGGAGATCATGGCCCTGAGCAGATGCTCAACCAACTGAGCCATTCAGGTGCCCCGGAAGTGTGTGTTTTTAAAAAACATATTCAAGATCAGACTATTATTTCATATTTGAAAAAAATTAAATCTATAACCATGTTTCTATATACCTGACTTTCTTGGCTATTCACAAAGGGGCACCACAGCAAGCAGTTACACTTAGAAAAGAAAATCCATCCTCTGTACATAAGTAATTCCAAATGGTTGCTTGGGATCCATAGAGAATACTTTTCGACAATTGTTTGAGGCTCTCTTGGAAAAAGTTAGGAAAGCATTGTTTGAAATTTATTGTACTATTATCTGGGCTTGAACTAGCTTAGAAGGGGCCCAGGAAGCATAGCCTGGGTGGCTCCAATGATTTAGTCATCCGACTTCAAATAGCCAGGTCATGATCTTTCCGGTCTGATTCGAGCTTTGCTGACCCAGACTCCCTAGGCTGACAGCTTCACCGGGCAGACCTATTTCGATACTTTTGGCCTGCTCCCTCTCTCTCTCTGACCCTCCCCGTTCATGCTCTTGTGTCTCTGTCTCAAAAATAAATAAACATTAAAAAAAATTAAAAAAAAAAAAAAAAAGAAATTTATAAGTGTGGCCGAAAGTAACAGTTTCATTAATATAAGTGAAAATAAAAGAGCTTTCATATAATCAGAAGAAAAGTGACTAAAACTGGTTTAATGGATATAAAGCACGTACTAGGAAATCTTCCTGGTTTATGGATCGACTTTGTTTTTCCCTTTCATTGTTTGGATTTGAATGGTTTCACTTATAAGCTTAAAATGAATTGGTTAGCAAAGTTCAATAGTGCCACCCAAGATGTTAAAAGCACTGATTTACCTTCACAGTTTCCAAGTCTCCAGCTTTAGATGCCTCTAAGAGTCGATAGTCAACATCAGAAGTGCGTATAGGTGTACTTTCTGAATAAAAGAGAGGAGAGATTAGTGTTAGGTTTTAAGGAATCACAGAGTTAAGAAGGAAAATTACTTGGTGAATGGAAAGAGGGATTAAGGGGTCAGAAATTCCTGAGATATAATCTATGGATTTTCTAAACTGTTTTCAGATGAGGAAAAAGTGGCTTCTTATTTCAATTTACATCCATCTCATCCTAAGCCACATTAAAAAAAAAAAGTATTTATTCTGAGAGAAAGTGAGAGAGAGAGTGGGGGATGGGGGCTGGGCACAGACAGAGTGAGAGAGAGAGTGGGGGATGGGAGGGTAGGCACAGAGAGAGTGAGAGAGAGAGTGGGGGAGGGGGGATGGGCACAGAGAGAGACAGAGAGAGAGAGAGAGAGAGAGAAAGAGAATCCCAAGCAGGCTCTATGTTGTCAGCATAGAGTGCAATGTGGGGCTTGAACTTACAAACTGTGATATCATGACCTGAGCCAAGATCAAGAGTTGGATGTTTAAGTGACTGAGCCACCCAGGCACCCCCATCCTAAGCTACATTTAAATAAATTCGAAGACACATAAATCCTTCTCTGTCCCTACTATTCTAGCTTTCAAATCTTCTGGCCAAAACTTGGCAAAAGGGAATAAAGAAACATAGAACACAGTATCAAGAACATCTTTATGATACTTTGGTCTTACAAAGTGCTTTCGCAAAGCTTTGCCATTGATTTTGTTGTGCAAACCTAGGGAAGCCACTCAACTTTCAGTATTCAATGTTTAGCCTTTTTCTTTTTGGCCTCAACTTCCTCAGTTTGAAACAGAAATACTACTCCCAAAATTAGTGATCTCAGAAAATATAATCAGTGTACTAAAATTCACATTAATTCACATTTACTGAATGGCTTCAGGGAAATGCAATAAAAAATGTCTGTACAATTGGGAGGTGTGACAGAAATGCCAAATGGAATATAATTAGATTAGGCCATTAGGTCCAGATGTACGAAGTTAACAGATGAAGTGTTTTGATTAATATAAACCAAAAATTCATTACACGTTGGCCCAAATAAAAACATTTTTAAGGAAAACAATGTACAAATATGTCACTCAAAATATGTTTGTGGACATTATGTTGGCCTTTCTACTGCACACGTGTATACACACTCATGTAACACAAAAGGAGTGAAGTCCAGGAGACCTGGATTTTAACAGTGATGATGGACAAATCACTTAATAGCTTAGTTTTGCACCTATAAAGTGAGTGTTGGGTTCCCTTAAATCCTCTTTCAGATTTAAAATTACATTATCTTTTGATCAAAGATCCTTCCTTGAGTCCTCTGTCTACAGGGGAAGATCAAGTGATGCTATGAAAAGGCTTTAGATTTCAGAAGAAACAACTTCAGCTCTTTCTAAAGTGCTTCATTCAGGAAGAGTGGCTTTTACAGCATAAGTTTTGAGAACTCTTCCATAAAAGATAAACTGTGTTTATTTAGTCATGATATTACTTAGCAGATAAAATGCTAAGATTAAAGGGAGGAGAGGAAAATATTTCATTTAATGAAGTACATTTTTGAAACATCAATAAGTATTTTTCTTTAGACAAGAGCTTATTATTCATTAATTTGTGGAACTGTCGAGGAAAGAAATCAAGTCTTGCTCGTCTTCAAGGTCCTTTTCACAGAGAACATTCAGAAAGCATTTGCTGAACTGACTTCCACCATGCTATTTTATACTGGGGTCAGTGTGTCTGGCCCACCATCACTCTTTCTTTGGCTGCCTTTATCCTGTTCTTTGTTGTCTCATTTGCCTCCTTTCTCGGTGTGCACGACTTTGCTGCATGAATGGGTGAGAGAGTCGGTGTGGATATTATGTCTCTGTGACAGTAATTCTCACAGCTGGCAGAGCTCACGGAAACATCCTTTGGATGTATATAGGTAATATTTCGCAAAGTGAAATGACAGTTGTTTATGTATATAGAGTTAGAACTTTGGATATTTTCAGACTCTAGCATTTGAGGGATACTGCTCGTATGGATAAGTGCTTTCATTCTATGAATTATTTGAAATTGGCACATTGGTCTTGATACAGACTACTTGCAAAGGGTTATAATTTTACAATCAAACAAAAATTTTTATGCAAATATAAAAATCCCTCTGAGAACTATGGAGAAATTCTTACTCCTTGTCAAAGAGTAGAAAGTAGTTATTTAAAGATATTGATTGATTACTATAGAAATTATAGACCTTTGCATCCATTATAAATCCTGAACAGGCTTAGAACAGATTCATTTCTGGGAACAAAGTAGTAGCTGAAAGGATATCTATACACCCAGGAGCTTTGTCAAAGAGAAACAGAATTAAAAGAAGGATATAAAAATGAAGTTAAAAGGGAACATAGGTAAAATAAGAGTAGCTGATATGCAAAGTACTGTATCAGTAAATTCCTTTATGAGCACACTGGCTTTTTCAGAGTATGAAATTAAAGATTTCACTTAGAGTCAAAGGCTAAAGATAGGCTTCTAATTTTTTCTCCAATTCTATTCTGGCTCACCAGAATTTTAAAAAGAAAATAAAAGAGAAGAAAAGAAAAGAAAAAAAAAAGAAAAGAGAAGAAACCCAAACTGAAAGTTCCAAAGGTCAGAAGGCAGTTTGCTATTAAAAAACAAACAAAACAGAACAAAAACAAGTCTCCTGTAGACTGGCTGTCACTGGACTGGCAATAGGTCTTACTGACTTATTTCAATGTGCAAATGTAAGTGGGATTTCAGTATTTAATTTAGCTCTTATAAATCTCCAAATCCTTACCTCTATAAATGATTACGTAAAAGTAATGGAATAATCATACTGGAATATACAGTCAGAATAATTCATTCTAGGGCGCCTGGGTGGCTCTGGTTAAGTGAGTGACGTCGGCTCAGGTCATGATCTCGTGGTCCATGAGTTCAAGCCCCACGTCAGGCTCTGTGCTGACAGCTCAGAGCCTGGAGCCTGCTTCGGATTCAGTGTCTCTCTCACTCTCTGCCCCTCCCCTGCTCACACTCTCTCTCTCTCAAAAAGAAAGAAACATTAAAAAAAAAGAATAATCCATGGCAAGGTCTAGCCTAAACATACTGTTTAAAAGAACTTATCTGTGATGCTGGATATATTCTTTATCTATGGTAATATAGTAGCCACTAGTCATATGTGGCTAGGACAAATGATGAACAGATTTAAAATTTTTATTTAATTTTAGTTAATTTAAATTTAGCCACAAGTAGCTAGCAGCTACTACACTGGACACAGCAGAATATACAGAAAGCAGGTCTGGAGAAAAAAGTCAAATCTTCTGAAATCATGTTTTAAAATTCTGGTTCGTTGGGGCGCCTGGGTGGCTCAATCAGTTAAGTGTCCGACTTTGGCTCAGGTCACCATCTCAGGGTTCATGAGTTTGAGCCCCATGTGAGGTTCTGTGCTAATAGCTCAGAGCCTGGAGCCTGCTTTGGATTCTGTGTCTCCCTCTCTCTGCCCCTCCCCCACGCGTGCTCTGTCTCTCTCGGTCTCTTTCTCTCTCTCTCTCTCTCTTTTTCAAAAATAAACATTTAATAAATAAATAAATAAATAAATAAATAAAATTCTGGTTTATAAAAAGCTGCTGACATTAATTTTGACATAAATACTGCCAACAGTTTACAATTCAAACTTTATTTTATTTTTAAAGTATTTATTTATTTTTAAAGTATTTATTTTGAGAGAGAGTGAGCAAGCGCACAAGTGCAGGAGGAGCACAGACAGAGAAAGAGAGAGAGAATCCCAAGCAGGCCCCGCACTGTCAGTATGAAGCCTGATGTGGGGCTTCAACCTATGAACCGTGAGATCATGACCTGAGCTGAGACCAAGAGTTGGACACAACCGACTGAGCCACCCAGGCACCCCTAATTCAAACTTTATTAATGTAAACTATTGGCAATTACTGACTTGAGAGCTGGAAGTGCAGGTTTCTAAAAGTGGATCTTAAACCTGGTATCAACATTATTAGTTAAATGTATCTTCATAAAAATGTTACCCAGAACAGAACTCCAATAACCTGGTATACATCCTATATGACTGATGCATTCTTTTAGGAGTCATTAGAGATATAAACTGGAATTGGATTAGTAAATTTAGGTACAAGCAAAAAGTCCAGCTAGTACATGGTCCACAGACTATAGATACTCAAGTTGCTCATAGAAATATTAATTTAGGGAGAATCTTTTTTTTTTTTTTTAACGTTTATTTATTTTTGAGACAGAGAGAGACAGAGCATGAATGGGGGAGGGACAGAGAGACAGGGAGCCACAGAATCCAAAGCAGGCTCCAGGCTCTGAGCCATCAGCCCAGAGCCCAACGCGGGGCTCGAACTCACGGACCGCAAGATCGTGACCTGAGTTGAAGTCGGATGCTTAACCGACTGAGCCACCCAGGCGCCCCTAGAAATATTAATTTAAAAAATTGTATCCTCGGGGCACCTGGGTGGTTTGGTTGAGCATCCAATTCTTGGTTTCAGCTCAGGTCATGATCCCAGGGTCATGAGCTGAAGCCCTGCTCAGCATGGAGCCTGCTTAAGATTCTCTCTCCCTCCTCCTCTCTCTCTGCCACTCTCTCCCACTCGTGTGCATGCTCTCTCTCTCAAATAATTAAAAATTAAAAAAAATTGTCTCCTCTTCCAAAAAACAATTCCCATTTCAAAACCTTTCTAAGGGCAAGATTTTATCATACAATTCTACTACTGTATTATTTTTCCATATCAATAAAGAATATTAAGAATTAAACCAAAAAGTTCTGGCATATCCTATGTTAAGCATTTAATTACCTATTTAATGTTTTATCTTCCAAACAAACTTCTAAGAAGAATTATCAGAATAACTGAATAAAATATTTCATTTGTGATTCAGTATTTAATTTTATCTTTTACCAGAAGTCATATACTCTAATTGCATTGATTTAGAAGACATTTAAGAAACATTAATGGATCAAATCTGCCTAATTTATTCAATCCTTTCTTCTCCATTTTGTCAATTATCTCTAAATTATGCATAGTATTATTAAGAATTTTTAACGTGATGGCTATCTGTTTGCCTGATTTATGGTTACAATTTAAAGAAACTAACTGAAAATTCAGCACTAAATGGTTCTTGGTAAAAAGCAGAAGAACAACATTTAGAATGTTTGAACAAAAATCACACCTTTTGGAATTATATTAGAATTTACTGGGAAGGCAGAACTATTTCCTACTCAAAGCATGATTACCTTCTTTAAGTAAATGTTCTATTGCTCTGTAGAAACAGGAAGTTAAATGAAGTCATGTTTTTCATAGTTTAAGCTTGAAATCCTATAACAGGAAATTTCATTCCTTTACGATCTTATTAGTTTTGATAGTAAAGGTGTCCTAGATAGGGCTTACTTCAACTCAAGATCAACCATCTAAGACTGAAGTTGAACGATACTACCTCCCAATGAATTAGCCTGAGGAAAATAAATCCTAACTACTAGCTCTTACAGTGCGGCACACTCTTAGGGGGTTGGTTAGCTCTGATTCAGCTCTAACACATATGAGCTCCACAAGTCTGGAAAGTTCCCTATTTTAGTAGACAGCTGTGATGCTCAACTGTGTTGTACTTTTGGGGGTCTTTCAGAAATTTGTGGGGTATATTTTTATCTTCTAGTGTAGTTTTGCCCAAGCTATTACTATTACAATAATCATAAATTATTTTATTGTAACTTACTGTCATTCCTTATATTATAGTTAGGGCATCTAATATGAGTTTTTAGAAGGTGGTTGTAAAGGTAGGTCACATTATTTATACACTTCATTTCTGTATAAGAAAAGGGGATGTTATAGAATATTCATTACGAAAAGGGGGCACTGTGCCTGATGGAGTAAAGAACTACTAGGTTACAGGCAGGAGAAAGAAACTGGGACTCTGGATTACTAGTCTGTAGCCTTCCTTCTCCATTTAACTCTTCCAGTCGGTTATGTCATTCTAGAGCAGATATAACCCACAGACAAAATAAAAGGGGTGGGAAAGAAGAGTCAATTACACCAAATTAATTCTGTTCACCATTTTTTAATAGCTAGATTGTGTTATTTCCTCTAATTTGGGGGCTTGGGAAACTAATCTACTTTCATATCTGTTTACCTTTGATTTCCCTCAACAAGTTAAAGAGTTAAAATATCTAATACTGTTCTAGGAAGGCACTAACATTCAGCAAGATTTTACAATTATATTTAAGCTAGAAAAAAAAAAAACAAGATAATCTCATAATGGCACAATGAAGGTAAGAATTACAAAAAAGCAGGTCAGGCTATCACATATGTAAGAACAGTCAATTAAAGATCATTACCATATGAGTGATTTCTAATTTTCTCTATTTGATAGATTTGAGAGCTACCATAATTCCACACTGTTTATATGAGCCTTAAGTCACCTCTGGTTGTCACACCCATGAGTCGGATTTTCAATTTAAAACTGAAAAAAACAGCATAGGTCTCCTTCTATGATACCTACCTCACTCCACCAAAAAGCCTGACAGGGAGGGTCTCAGGCTAAACTGGGAGCAAGGAGAGGTATGAGAGATACTCAGGCAAAGAAAGCCTTCCAAGGAGCTACTTAAAACAAGCGGTGCAAAGTTTGTCTGCTTAGATGGGTGGCCGTGAAACGGGAAGCGGGAAGCCGAGACCTCACCGTTCATCTGCTTTAACTCACCGCTCAGAATTTGCTGCACGGCTTCGTTCCCCATCTGCGCTGCAGTAAAGCCTTGTAAGGAGATGATGGAGGGATCGGAGCCGTAACTCAGCAGGAGGCGGCAGGTCTGCAGGTGGCCTGCTAGGGCAGCTCTATGCAAAGCAGTCTGACCAAGAGTGTCCAGTGCGTTCATCTGAAAGATCATTGGGTGGGCACACGGCATTGAGCATCTATTTGTTCCCTTTTACACCCTAGCAAATAAGTTTCTATGAGAAAAATAAATTGTCAAAGGTTTTTGAAAAATGCCACAGACTATTCACTATTAACCTTTGTTTTCTGCTTCTGAAAAAATATCCCTTTCTTAGTCTCACCACCTTCCAAATACAAATGACAACATACTCATCCTTTCCCTGAGTAACTGTCTTCCTGTCCATCTTCCACGCCCAGCCACTCCCCTCAACAACTAGGATGTGAGATCCCTGAGGGCGGGACCCTGACCTGCACTGCCTGCCACATCTGAGATGCACATTAAATACTTTTGGATGAATGGGTTTTACCAAACTTGCTCCTGTAATATAAAGACAGCAGGGTATGTAGGTAAAGGCAAAGTAGCTAATTACATTTATCTTCTAATTTTAGTAAATAATTATAACAGAATGCTCTCATTGAATTACCAACACATTTAACACCCCCCCACCAGAAAGATTTAAAGGTTCAAATGTTCCATTTTTAAAACTTTGAAGAGTTATAAAGGAAGAATCATTTAGCTAGTCTTAAGACTGTTTAAGACAACATTAAGCTTTGGAATCACATTCATAATTTGATCAAACCTGTTTTCCAGGAGGTCCCCCAAAATATCCAGGATGTCCTAGTAAATACCCTCTATTCCAATCAGACCACAGTCCCTGTTCATTGTATATGCTGCTCCTTTCAGACAAGCCCTCTGTCTGCCTTTCTGGATTATGAAATCCAGTGCAAGTCTCATCTCTCTCAGGAAGTGCTTTTGTTGCTTAAAGGCTCGATGATTACTGACTTTCCAAATATCCATGTCAAGTTAGCACTATCTTACAAATTATAACACCTGGGTAGTTTTTGTTCACCAAGTTAAAGTTATGGCTATTGAGAATATGGATTGCATTATATAGGTTTTCTGGGTCCTCTAGAAAGCTCCTCTTAAGGACATGTAGTGAATTCACAAATATATGTTAGTAGGTTATTTTAAGCATTTGTCCGCACCCACCAAATAAATACAAGATTAAGGAAAGAAAATATTTAAGACAACTGATCTCTATGTCTCCAGTCTTTCATCATTATTAGTAAGGCGGTCACACTTGTTCAGGCAAGGGTTCATCTAAATTCTTAACGGTGTTTTCACAAAATTTGCCATGAAATACTGACATGTTTAATTAGATCTCATTTGCCAGCAGAAAAGTGACTGTTTATACAGGCAACATAAAAACACAGCCATTACCATGTATTGATGGAAAACATAAGCTACCAAACTAAATTTCTTGACTTTTTCTATGAACATTTCTGTTACTTCACCACAAGAGAAAAACTTAAAATTGGGAATATTCTAATCATTAATGATTTTCTGGAAATTGCATAAGAAACTCACTAAATTATTTAATCAGAGTGACAGAAATTCTCAATACAGCTTGTTAAACCACGGTAACATGGTTTGAGAATTACTACTCCAAAATTCAGATATTACCTAAAGTTATTCTTCAGCTCAAACTGAGGGTCTCTTCAGTGCCTTCAAATAACCTTGAATTCTTCAGCATGTCACTTAAGACCATCTGTAATTTACTTTCACACTCCCTTCCTTTCTACTATATTTTTTCATCACAATGTGATAGGCCTGCTATGCTCCAGCTTTATTAGATCACCCTGGAACCCCATTTTATGAAGATGTTCGTTTCTAAAGTCATTGCAAAAGGTAAAGTTTGCCTTTGGTCAATATTATCCTTGAAAATACCTTAGCAATGCAATGGCAGAGACAGACCTAGGGTTTCTCAGTAAATGCAACACTCGTTTCACCTTCAATGTGTGAACAGATCAACCGAACACCAAAGTACATACAGTATCTTTAAACAGTATAAACGCACTACGTGTGAGGAGAGGTTCTCTCAATGCATTTGCATGGTGAACCTGAGTGCAATACAGAGAACAGCAGATTCCCTTCTCTCTCTCACTCACCCTGGAGCATGCACTCATGGAGTGAAATCGGGCCCCAAATCACCACTCTCTAATGTTATTTACATTAACTTTTCTTGTTCCTCTCCCCCTCTCGGTTTTGGATGGCTGCTTCTGAATGCAGCTCCACTGACACGTATTCTCATTTCTCTACCCAGTAATTATTCTCTTCTCACGCTCCTTACCCTCGCATTTGGCTGTCAAAATTAGAACCAGGTAGTTTACCTCCAAAGAAGTCTTGTAAGGAAGGGATGCAACTAACATTTACTAAGCACTTGCTAATATCAGGCTCTGTGCTAGATGCTCTATTGAAATTGTAAGCGACTTAAAAGCAGAAATTATGACTTAATCTTAAATGTAACTCTTCCCTCTACCCTCCCCACTCCCAGAAATACAAAAGGTATAGGGCATTTCATGGAGCTTCACCAATATCTTGTGAATAAGTGAAAAATATAATGTATAAGTTAAGAGTTAATTTATAAAAGGAATTTTTTATGTTTAGCTGAAAAAAATTCCAACCATTTGATGAGGACTGATTGGTAACACTAGAAAGTTAAAACCATGCTGATATACTGAAGCTTTGTGTCCTCATCCCTGTTTATGTATAGAAGGCATCTGCTCCTTCCCAAGGTAGTATTGTATTCTAATATTTCAGAAAACCAAACTTTCTTAAAGTACAAAACAGATCAGCGTAACATAAAATTCTTTGCTTTAGAAAATGTATTTTTTATAATGAGAGAATTTCCCCCTCAAACTCTAGTTATCGCAGCAACAAAAGAATATCTATGGAGTGCTTTATCAGACAACATAGCTGAAGCACTAGAAGTGATAGAAAAGTATCAGCGATATTTAACAGGAGCACTCATTCCACGGAAACAAGTGGAATAATTTGGTGGAACTGTGTACAACCCATAGAATGAACAAGGATGGATGATAGGGAAAACATTAAACAAACATCCGACAAGGGTTTTCGTGAGGAAGGGTTATTCCTTACTAGAAGCAAATGTCAAATTTCTCAGATTCCCCGATCTTAGGACTCCAGGCTGGTCCTTCTATGGTCCAAAGATGACAATGGCAGCTCCTTGAAAACAACTCCATGAATCTCAGTGAAAGCCCAAAAGGATGTCTCATACATCTATTGTAAGAGAGAAGAAACCTTTCCCAGAGGACTTCTCCTTATGGCTGGAACCAGAAACGCTTCCTGAAGCCATGCCTATACCAGTCACTAGCAAGGAGAGTAAGATCACCAGAACTGTGTCAGACCCAGCCTTCTGTGGAGCTCCCAAAACTGAACAAAGTAGAGCTCCACAGAAGAAGGTTGCTGAGGCAAGCTATGGCCCGTGGGTCAATTCTGACCAGGTGACTATTCTGTACTGCTTGCAAGCCAAGAACGATTTTTAGATTTTCAAACGATTACATTTAAAATGGCTAGAGAAGTATCCATAAAGCCTAAAGTATTTACCATCTGGACTTTTAAGAATGCATTTGCTGATCCCTGTTCTGAAGAAAAGAAGGGGGAAAGTGATTATTGGATGGGAAATCAGCTGTCTGTTGGAGTCATTACTGACCTTTTAAATTGATTCAAAATTGAAAACAAAAAGTCCCTAACTTCCTCTTATATTTAACTTTATCAACACCCTTAATGTTCTACCTTTGTTTACTCTTTTACCCACCAGTCACGGGATACAATCAGGGCTCTCTACAAGGTGGTCAGTCCAATTTTCTTCCCTCCACATGTGTAGTTCAAGGCACAGAAGTCCAAAATGTATGTGCCTTCCAAGGTTGGTGATAACTTTGTTTTTAGAGGGCAGCAGGAACTATTTTATAGGACTACACCTGTAACGTGTCCCCGAGTTTTTAAATGGCAGGATTTGCATTGCTGCTGTAATTCAGTTTCACAGTAGAAAAGTGATATTTTGGAGCTAGTGTATATTTCACTGTGGTCCCAGAGAGTTACAGGGTGCGTTAATTGTTTAAAGGTTCCCATAAGTTTGGATTTATGACTCTGCTACCATTCTGTAAGTTACACAAATGGCAAATGATAGTAATTCACTTCACTGATGGAGAAATATAGGAGATTAAATGACTTGGGCATGTTATCCACAAAATCTATAAATGAAAGCACTGGCTAAAAGGGCCCACCAATGTACAGAATATAGCCCATGACCTGAAAGTCATGCGTTTGTGTGTGTGTGTGTCCTCTTGGCTTTGACAATTTTGACTCACACATTGACAATTCTTCACTCAGTCAAAAAACAGGCTTAACAACATTTAAAATATTCTTTATATGTAAGAATCAAACCCCTAAAAAAAAAAACCCCAAATACAGTCTTGTATTATACATATAATTAAGTACTTAAATCGTCATTCAAGCTGAGATAACTAAATAAATGAGATTGCCATTCACAGGATTCTTCTAAGAACTTTCAAATTAAAAAAAAATATATATATGTATATATATATATGCATATACATATATATATTGCTCTCTGTAAGTTTTATGTTTTTAACCTAAATGATATATTTGACAGACTTTATATATATACCACCATTAACTTATTATTCATATTTTAAAGAGATACAACCTGTGTGTGTGTGTGTGTGTGTGTGTGTGTGTGTGTGTATACATATAATTTGAAACCACCAACATACATATTTCTGGAAGAATTCAGGGAGTGTTGCATCAGTTTTTGTGATCAAGTCTTCTTTAGAGCCAGTCCTATTTTCATCACAGTCTCCACCATGAGGATATGATATAAGATGCCATTAAAGATGCTTATCATTCAGCACCAAGGAGATTATTTTCACTGAAGTACAGACACTGACTCAAATAAGAAAAATGCTACATATAATGTGTGGTAATGTGTGGTTAGGACTTGGCTTGAGAAAAAAACGTATCTGGCAGTTTTAGAGACAAAATATATTCCCCCTTTTTCCCTTGTATCTAGAGAGAGAAACCTGAGGTATGCATTTTTTTTCTATTTCTGAGTAGTAATT